TTGCCGGCGACCCGCCGCAACACCTGGTAGTTCGCGTTCGCGCTCGCGCTCCATTTCGTTTGCGCGGCGGACGCGGTCGAGGCGGTGGGTGCGGGATGAGTGGCGTTGAGCGGGTGCGGGAGCGGTATTGGGATGGGAATGGGACTGCAGGGCCGAAGGAAGAGAAGGAGGTAGAGGAGGCATACCGGTATGAGGCATATAAACCACAGAACCACCAGACCCTCCCCCAGGACTCGACCGCGCATGAACAGCCCGCGGCCTCGCCCGCGCCGTCACACCAACACCTCCACTCCGCTGCCTCACCCCGTCATCAACATACGCACAATGCTGCTCCCACGCCCCCTGATACCGTCCCGGCCCCACAGACCCCCGATCCCACGCCGCAGCCGCCGTCAACGCCGCAAGACTCTCCTGCCGCGCACGCTTGACGTCGAAGTCGCGCTTCTGGGCGCGCGGAAGCGTGGCGATGCGGGGTGCGGGGAGGTGGTCGTAGGGTGCGGAGCGGGGGCGTTCGATGCGGATTGAGGGGAGGGAAGTGGAGCGTTGGTAGGAGGGGGGGCGGGAGGGGTGGGATGGGGTGGTGGTGTAGTAGGGTGGGAGAGGGGCTGGGGATATGGGAGGGAAGGGGCGGGGTGGTTTGCGATGAGGTGAAGGAGTGGGAGGAGGAGGAGCCGGAGCGGGAGCGACGGATTGGGTTGGATGGGGTGGATTGGAAGGAAGTGGAGTCTGTGCTGTGGCGGGTGGGGGTGTCGGTTTCGGTGGGTGGGATGAAGCCGGTGATGGAGCGGCTGTTGCGGAGGAGGAGGTGTTGAGGTTGGTGTTGGTGGTGATGGGTGGTGTATGAGATGGGGGTTCCTTGGCTGGAGCGGATGGGAAGTCGGTGTGTGGTGGGAGAAGGCTGGGACTGGTGTGGACGAGATGTGATATGGACATCGTTCATATTGACGAAATCTTGCGCTTGTTGAGCCCGTGCTCGTTCTCTTCGAGCATTCCAGCCTGCCTCGTACCTGCTCGAGTCCGGGGTCCCAGGGCCATGGGCCCGAAAAGAGTGGTGCGATGTTGAGGATCGTAGGGACGGTGTGGTCATGGTAGTCTGTGTCTGAACACACGTAGGACTGGTGCAGTACGGTTGGGGTAGACTCTGTCTTTTGTTGCTGGCCTTGTTCGCTTTCCTTGCCATCTTTGCAATCTCCTCGCCGCGCTTGGCTGCGAGGAAAGAGACAAAGTCGGGCGGGGGTCCATCCGTCACTGTCAGTTCGCTGATCGTCTGGAGGGTGCGTCTACGATTCTGCGTCTGCCAGCGCTTCGAGGCATGAGAGTCATTTGAAGACGGGCCTTGTGGTGGCAGTTTGACCAGCGGCATCGGGAATATCATCCAAGATAGCGAAAGTTGAACAACTAGCCAGTGAAATCCTGCGCTGGGAAAAACCAAAGTATCCTCCAGTGCGGTCGTGGAATATGGTTTATACAAGTAGTAGCAGTCGTATCCCAGCCCACGTTTAAACACGAGGCTGAAACCCACATGAAATCCCGACGGCGGCTCGTAGTAACAAAAAAAAAGGGGGGGGGGAACGAGAACGTGGCTCCGTGTATTGACACCCGGAAGAGTGGGCTGTGCCCAGTACCGCGGGCGTGTGAAGAGAGAAAGAGAGGGCGAGGCAAGGGAGATACGATCCAGCAAACAGTGAGTCGGGTCGCAAACCATGTGCTGAATATGAACGAGCTCTCGTCTTTGCCTTAAGTGGGTCGGTGTTGCAACATGCTTGCGGTGAATCTCGGGAGCAGAGCTGCGAGGTTGTACTACGAACCTTTGCAGATATCGTCCACCTGCGGGTCCGAGTTGCGGCATCGTCATCATCAGCAGCAGTTTGAGCGTTTCGTTGGCGTTGCACGGCTTTTTGCGGGGACGCGTAGACGCTATGCAAGGACAGCAGAGCGCGGTATATCAAGTTGAAGCATGTACTTTGGGCAAAGTAGCATTGGGCAATCGACAGCCAACCTACACAAGCACATGTCAACGAGGCTGACAATCAGCATTGAAACCCGCAGGTCTCAGAACTTGTAACAGGGATGTAGGTCAACAGCACCAAAGCGAAGTCGTACACTCCCAATATCCTTGCGTGGTAAGCGGTGAGCACATCTCAAATCTCCTCAACACTGATCGAAATGTCTCAATCACACATGACGCAACAGGATATGCGTAACGCTACACTCCAGCAAGAAAGATTCCCAGCCGTCGATCGGTTCGGAAGAGACGCTCGCTCGGGGGGTCCACGCAGAATGCAGGCAGCCACTGTGATTTTGCACGGCCGAGGCCGGCTGTAGAGTCATGGCCATGGGAAAAGCAAGCTCCGTGACGCACGGGACGAGTACAACAGCGTGGAAATACGAGGTAGGATGGTTGTGCGGACGCGCCATGGAGGCGGGTCTTGTGTGACGCTGTGTGACGATGAGGAGTATGTATGGTTGCAGATCTTCAACTATAGCTGATAATGGTATTGTTCATGTTCGATATTTGAAAGACGTGGGATCTGTAGTAGTAGGGTAACGCTACATGGGGTTGTTGCTGACACCAAGGAAGGACATGCCACTACGTCAATTTCTGATATCCACGTGATTACTAGATGGGTGAGCAGTGTTTGACTCTTCTCAGGATCAAAACGCCATCTCCGAGACATAACAACACCCCAACCAAATTCAAGATCATCGTGAACCATAGTGGGGATGAAGCAAGAGGAACGGCCCGGTGACGATAGCTGCAGTCCAAGAGAGAGATACCATTGGATCAATATGCAGTTTGCATGCTGCACACTGCTAGCTCCCGCCGCATTATCAACCACGCGTCCTCCACTCTGGCAAACACCAGAACCATCGAGCCCACTCATATCCACCACGGCATTTGCGTTCGCATCGTCTTAGCTCTCTCTAATACATCATAGATCTCATCTGCATCTGTATCCGCGCACCCGCATCTGCCGTCTTAGTGTGTTGTCGGGCCCCCTTGTCGCACTGGTACCAAGTCACCTGCCTTCGAACGCGCATGGGAAGGTCTGTTCCCCGCCTCTTTGTAAACTACTTACGCGGTCTAGAGCTCTGCTCTGGGATGAGCTTGAGGAGACTCTCCTGGCTCCTCGTCTGAGATCCGAGTGGATAGCGATGCCGATCCGTACATGCGTGAAGAAGCAGACTCGTCATTTTCTTGGTCAGAGAGACGAGTGGCAGCGGTAGAAGATGGTTTTGCAGCAGTGGGAGGAGGATTCGATGTCTTTTCAACCCGCATGGCTAGCATTCTCTGTCTAGTCTCGACTGCATTGGCCTCTAGGTACGCTTGGCTGACCGGAACTTACGCCGTCTGTACCAGGGTATTCGCTCCTTGGAGAGTCGGCGATACTCACGTCGGCATATTGTGATGGCTCGAAAGAAATCACCGCCTGTAGTTCAGGCAATGGCGCGAGTCCTGTGGCGGTATGCGATCTGGGCCTCGAATTGGCCACTGCAAGTCTCATGCGTGGCGGAGGCTGAAGCGATGTTCCCTCATGATGATGCATTTTCAACGGATATCTTTCTCTCCTTAGCTCTGATGAAGGTTGGGAAATAGTTTCAGCGGGCGTACTTCTGGTCTGTTCTTCATTGGAAGGTCTCGGCACCGCATCTTGAAGAGCGCTGCTGTCCAGATCTGAACTTGGCTCGATTTCCAGGGATATGCTCTGATCTTGTGAAGAGGGAAAAACGCTAGAAGCGTCTTGATGAACAAGTCCTGAAGATGAAGACTGTTCTCTGCCAGTTTGGCCAGTTTTTCCAGGGGCTTCGTTGTCATGGACTTTATCCTGTTCACGACCCGAGTAGCGATCTTGCACCGCATCACTCTGGGTAAGAAACTCCTCCATTCTCACATCCCCAATTTCCGCCAACCTCTTGTCATACTCTGCCCACCAATCATGGCCCATATATTCTTCATCGCCGTCACGGAGATGCCCTACCAAGTCAAGCCATTCCTGGTACAATTGATTGCCTTGCCGCAAATTCTCACATAGTTTGATGGTAGCTTCCGTGCCAATATGTTTCCACGGTTCGAGAATTTCTATCATCGCAATAGAGGATGCTTCGTTGGTAAACTCAAACCATATAGAGCAGATCCGCTTTAAATCACCGTAAATGTTTAACATATTGTTGCAAACCATCTGGACACGCATATGAAGATCTGGGAGGTTCTTGATGTAGTGAATATCGAGCAGGTCTGTGAATCTGAACTGTTCGATCATGTGGAGTAGTTTTTGGCTATGATTGTCGTCGAAAAGGGGTTCTAGCCACGTTTCATCGCTGACATCAGGCGAAGTCGGGGGAGACGTGGAGGAAGATTCTGCATTTGGAGGAGTGCTAGCGTCAGTCAATGATCCTGGGCTATCGGCATCTGGGCCCTGTGTGGATTGCGCAGGCGAAGCGCTCTCAGCCATCTCATCATGCTCCTCACAAGACGACGCCGTGTTTGGATCGGAGGAGCTGGCAGAATCAGATGTCCTGATCTCAGGAGTGATGCAGGTTTGTGCTGCAGATCCCGGCCCAGTATTCTCAGGTATCGCTCTTTCAAGGGCCAAAGCCCTATCTGCCTGCTGCATCTGTCTGATATCCTGGATTTCGAGTGCCAGGAGGTTGAGCTGTTCTATCACTTTTTCTACGGCTTCCTCCAAAGGAAGCGTCGGGGTATGGGGAGATGCAGCCTCCATGGCTGCAGAATTGTTAGCTTGCGCAGTAGGTGGAAGTGATTTTGCTTTACGAGCGTCGTAGAATATACTGCTTGCACGAAGTACTTTGCACTTACCGTCATCTTGCAACGACGACTTCTTCTTCGTAGTTGACCGTTGCCAAAGGTTCTCCAGTGTGCGTATGATGCGAATACGCTTGGGTTCGGTTTCATCACTGTGAACTGAGGAGCTGTTAGCTTTAGCATGGTATAGCAGCCGTCTCTCATGAAGGAGTACTGGAAACACATAACGTACTGCTCATGAGGGATTTTGCACGCTTGCAAAATCGCGTCCAAAGGTTGTTCTGAGCCCTCTCGCCATCATATCGCTTGACGGGACACCTTGTCTTCTTCCCGCCGGAATCTTTGGCTTTGCTGAGTCTTGTCATGATCGCTTGAATGAGAGGTATGCAAAGATGAGGAGTAAGTGAAGATGAGAAGGAGCGAAAATCGTGAGGTAAAGAGAAGTATGATGATCTGTAGAGAGGTATGAGGAAATATAAGGATATGGGGAATCCATTATAAGATCATGCAAATATTGGATGTTTGCCGCACATACAGAAGTGCTTGTAGCTAGAACTTCGTGATGATGGCTCTTTCCTGGTAAGTCCCCTACAAGCTGCAGGGCACTCTCAACTACTTTTGCCAATTTCCTTGATTCGTTCCCTCATCTGCTACCATGGGTCGACGAACATCAGCAGAATGTGTGTTATTGGACTGCAGCTGAAGAAGGCATACTTCTAGTTTGGTACGAACAATACCTTTGCAGCCTCCCTATGTATATTAGCCACTATCAATAGACATATTTTCACTGAAACACTGGTTCAAATCACGACGAGCGCGCAACAGTGGTCGACCACACATGAGGATCGTATTGCTCCACACTTTCTTCGTCTTTGGCACGCATTACCGAATTCAAAAAAGCAATCCTATCATCAATACCCAAACTCCTGAACGCTGCCAGTCATAGGAAAAGGACACGCTTGCTCGTTCCGTGTTTGAGGGAGGGAATGCCTGCGATATTCGGTACCGAGCTTGCAGAGAGCCCCAAAACATCATGGAACACGGAATCCGATTAGGCACTATTCACTGTTAAGTTCAGTTACTATGACCTGCCGGTAACTGCGGCAAAAGCAAGGAAAAAAATATTAAATAATCCAGTCCACAATGCATGCACCGGCGCGGAAAACAATACGTGGCCTCTCTCTCTTTATATCTCTCTAGAGAAACGATGTAGGGAAGATTGTTATTGGCTAGCATGCCAATTAGCGTCTGAGCCAGAATCTTTTGCATCGTAGGAGAGAGATATAGAGAGAGAGACCACCGTCGTCTTCGCTCGTACCGCATATGTGGAGGTGTGTAAGCGAAGACGAGGTGGAGGGGTAGACTTACTACAAGCTCAAAGTGAGATCGCCGCGAATACTCGCCTTCAGCTCGATCTCGATTTCCAGATTCGCCTCGAGCGTCAACTTCAGTCCGTCCTGGTCCTTGAGGTCGCTGCCTCCTCCCATTGTACTTGGTGGCATCATGTGTGGTTGGTTTGGGTCGGTGCCACGCATGGGAATCTCACCCCTCATTGCTCGTGCATGTGTAACCGGTCCGTCCATGGACGTACTGTCGGGCCCGATGCGCTCAAACATGCCCATCTTTTGAAGGTCACCATTTGCGTCGGCTTCCTCGAGGGCCTCGAGCGATGTCGTGTGCATGTATTTGCCGTCTCTTTGGGCTTTTTGGAGGCGTTCGCGACGGGCACGACGGGAGGATGACCGTGAACGTGCGGATTGCAGGCCGGCTTCCCGCTTCTCTTGCTTCTTCTTGTTGATGGCTTTCTCCTGCTGCATGGTCGTGCGCTCGTGCGGCTCAGAGTCCGATCCGGAGTTTTGATCTTTGTCGGCCATGTTTTCGGGTATCCTCGCTATCATCTAACGGTTGACGGGTTTGCGAGGGAAGTGAAGGTTTGCTGGTCGAGACTTGTAGTCGTTTGAGTTGGGGTTGAGAAATGAACCAGCAAGTACAGGATGGGCGCACAAGAGGGCAACGTTAGAGTGCACGAGGTAACCTACGAAACCAGCCTGGCTATTCAAAATCAAGATTTAGTAAATTGATACATGGATGCTGCAGCCACGCAGCATGACGCCGCTGGTTGACGGTGCACCCCCTGGTAACGCATCCGCAAAAGGGACCCATATAGTTGACGTCACCGCTACATCGGTCATCTGGTTCCACATGTGTTGATGGATGTCAGCGCCACCTGAGGGCGCAGTTCATATGACTATGGAATTAGCGCTGCGTGAACTTGTATTCAGCATAGGGTTAGGCCATGCCAAGCTCTACTAGCTAGCTAAGCAAGGTTAACCAAACATTATACTATAAGATTTTATAACACGTTCTAAACCTATTCTAAATATATTCTATACTAGTAACACTATAAGCTACTACTACTATACCTATTACTAACGCAACCCTCTTATCCTATATAAGCAGATTAAAATATGTTTAGAACATGTTCTTAATAGGTTATAGAAGCACTATTAATAGTACCTTACCCTTAGCCACGTCCTAGATAATATTAGGGCATAGCCTATAGTTAGCCCTAATAGGGTAGTTAAGATAGAGAGTAGAGAGCGCTACTACTATACTAAGATTAATAATAAGGGCACCTTATATAGAGTAAGAATAGGTTCTAAACATATTCTAAATAGGTTCTAATATTCTTAGGCTATTCTAGGTACTAGGGGCACTCTATATACCTATACTAAAAAAGATTATAGGCTTAATATAGCCTACTATAAGGTTAGTAGGGTTAAGAAGACTAGCTAGCCCTCTATAATAGAGGTCTACAAGGTAAAGAGTAAATATATTATTAACCTATTCTTAACTTATTATACTAATATATATAGACTTCTATATAAAGGTTATATATAATTACTAGAACACTCCTTACTATAAGTTATTTAGAATATATTTAAAACTTATTACTAACGTGTTTTATAGAAGTTCTCTAAGCCTAGCTAGTAGCTACTATAGGCCCCCCTATAAATACTAATACCCTCCTAAATATAATTTAGAAGAAGACTTATAGTAGCTATAATAGTAATAAGGTATAGCCTGCAAGAACCTATTAAAAACACGTTACTAACTTATTATAGCTTAACTTTATTACTATATCTACCCTACTAAGGATTTAAGGTTATTAGGTTCCTTATACTATCTACACTTATAATTATCCTAGCTATAGTAAGTTATTTATAATATATTATTAACCTGTTCCTAATATATTTTAAGACTATTACTTTAATACTAGTGTAGACCTTACTAATTCCTACTAGAATGCTGCCTAGTTCTACTTGTAGTATGCTTTTATAGAGCCTAGGGAGGATAGGGAGGATAGAGAAGATACTAGAGAGGGGGAGGGAGATAATAATAGTAACAAGTAGGAACACGTTAAGAATATATTAAGAATAAGTTCTAATAAATAATATATAATAGTATATAACCTAAAGGGGTAGTAGTAATTACTAAAATAAACTCTCTACTTTTCTCTTTTTTTTTCTATCTACTAAAAGTAAAGTACTATTTACTTTTATAGGGTCCTTTAATAGTATATAACTTTTTCTTTTAACTTTTATAGGTATTATAAAGCTCTAGTAGTCCCTTAGATTAAAGAAGAATCTAGTATTTATAGGTGTCTAGCTATAACGTATTATTAATATATTCTAAATATATTTTAAGAGACTAGACTTATATCTCCTTTTTACTACTTTTGCTAAATATTATTTATAGTGTAAAGGGGAGCAACTATTTACTCCTTTTCTTTACTCTCTACTTCCTCTTTAGCCTCTACTCTAGCTACTACTTCTTATTATAGACTAGCTATCTTAGAGGGTTCTTAAACCTTAGAGGAGGCACTTAGTGTAGTCTACTCTACTAGTAGAGAATATATTATTAACGTGTTTAGAACACGTTCTTAAGTATTTACTATTAAGCTCCTATAGAAGATCCTTGCTTCCGCAATACCTTGTATTATAGTTCTGCTATAGTTTACTAGGGCTATTTAAACCTTAGGATAATACCTCTTAAGGTAGTAGATAAGATTGCCTCTATTAGAGAAGTAACGCTAAAATAGTTATTAACATGTTATAAACGTGTTCTAACTTATATATATATATACTCTACAAAGTTCCTATACCCCTAATCTAGCCTAAATAGCCTAGTAGAAAAGCTTACTAGGAAATACTATACACCTATTATTTAGGTAGGATATTGCAGGAGAGAATACCCTAGTATTAGATAGAAGTGACTTAAGCTTAATATATTACTAGTATAAATCCTACTTAGTATTAGAACAAGTTTATAACATATTCCTAACGCGTTCTATTATATACTAACTTTAAAAGATCTTTATAGACTATATTAACTAGTTATATCTAATAATATTAGGAAAGATAGATAGTAAAATAGTATTAAACTCTTAAATATAAAAAGTTCTTATAGAGTGTAAGAAAAAAGAAGAAGAAAGAGAAGAAGAAAGAATATATATTTATCTACTTATATATACTTATATAATAGACTAGAATATATTAAGAACTAGTTAGGAACTAGTTACTATATTTATAGACTAACCCTACCTTATATAAAAAGTAGCTATCTCTTTCTTAAGTTTAAACTGTGCCTTTTGCAATTTAAATAGTGCCTTTTTCTATGCAAGTTCTTCCTTATCTACCTCTAGCTTTTCTTTTCTCTCCTTTAGAGCCTAATTACTAAGAAGAGCCTTTTATTATAAAGTTTATAGTTATAGACTAATAATAAGTTAGGAATATGTTATAAATATATTTTGTAAAGCATACCTTTAGGTTGCTATTAGTAGAGGAGAAGAGCCTAGTAGTAGAGAAGATAGAAAAGGGGCTAGTAAACTTCTTTCTAATACCGCTCTACTACTTGCCCTCTAGCTTTAGGCTTTTAAGCGTGCTCTTTTATTTCTTATTAGGACTAAGATATATCTAGTTAAGTTAGATATAGCAAGACTTGCTTTATTATTATCTAGAGTGTTATTATTATTATAGGACACGTTCTAAACATATTCTAAACACGTTTTAATTAGCAAATATATATAACGCTAGTGTAAGACTTACTTTCTCCCCTTTAAAGCTTTTTAAGGTACCTTTACTTAAGCCTATTAGGAGTTCTATAGTTATAGCGTATTCTAAACTTACTCTAGGCTTTAAACTCTTTTATATCCTATAGATCTATCTAGTGTGCACTATATAATATTACTTATATAATTCTAATAGGTTAAGAATAGGTTATAAACTTACTTCTAAGTAGCCTTAAGAATACTTACATGCTTACTAGTTTTATATCCTTTCTAGCCTACTTGCTTAGCTATATTTAAATAAGATTCTAGTTTTTCCTATACCTCTTTTAATATTTTACTATAGTATTGCACAATCCTAGTAGTAATTACTAGGTTTTTCTTATAGATTACCTAGTTTTAGGCATCTTTAGAGGGTTTATATTCTAATTATATAAGAACAAGTTAGGAATACGTTTAGAATAGGTTTAGAATATGTTTACTTATATAAGAGGAGGTTAGTAAGCTAAAAGTATTCCTCTACTATTAATACCTATAGTAATTTACTTAGACGTAAAGAGGTAGTATTATCTAGCTCTCTTTTATATGCTTTATAAATACTTCTTTGTAGATGTACTTAATAAAATCTTATATAAGATTAAAGTTGCTAGCGCTAGTTATACTTGTAGGGATCAATTAACTAGAGATAGCGCCTAAGTCCTAGAAACAAGTTAGAAACACGTTACAAACATGTTATAGTGCGCTATAAAACTTACCTGTTATCTGCTTATTATATATATTAATAGTAGTCCTATAGAATCCCTATAAGTAAATATACCTCTATAACACTTATCTTTTTATAAGTGCTTTACACTTCTAAAAGAAGTTAGTAATAGCAACTTAATATATCTTAGTTATATCCTTATCTACTAATAATTTAGCTAAGTATAATAACTGCAACGTGTTAGAAACGTGTTACTAACCTATTCTTAATGCGTACGCTTCTTTTCCTATAGGTAGAAGATTACTATTAGAATCTCTGCCTATGCCCTATATAACCTCTTATATAATATATCTATCTAGAATATGTCTTAATCTAATAGAATTAATGCCTACTCTTTAAAAAGGTAAATAATTAAGTTACCTAAGCTTAATATAAAGATTTGCTATATATACGCCTATAGTAACATGTTAGTAACGTGTTCTAAACTTATTCTCTTACACTACGTATAGTTTTAGGATCCTAATGCTTTATCCTCTACTTATAGTGTACTCCTCTAAGGCTACTCTTAAATAGGAACTATAGAAGCTTTTCACGCTTTATAATACGCGAGATTTTATCTTTATTTATAAAGCTAATATATATTTCTTTAATAGAATAGAAACCTTTAAGTTAGAGATAGGTTTAGAGCTAGGTTAAGTTTAGGAACTAGGCTATAATAAGTTAGGAACACATTTATAACAGGTTGCAAACAACTTATATTATATAAGCTATAGAGTAAGCATAGGCTATAACACCTTTACTACTTCCTTAATATTACTATTAGATAGTGTTAAGGGAGGAGGAGGTATATATATATATATACTAAAAGAAATAATAGCAAAAAAAGGTATTACTACTATATCTATTAGTATAATTACTTAGAAGGTAACTTTATATAGGATTTTAAATAGAGATCCTTGCCCTTATAGATAATTAACGCCTAGAATATATTAGGAATATGTTAGGAATAGGTTGCAATATACCTACTACACTTCTTTATCTAGCTTAACTATAGCTTAACCACAGAATATAAAGCAGGACTACTAGAAAGATTTAATATATCCCTAGTTAGAAGACCTTATAGATATATAGAGTCTACCTCTAGTAGTACCTAACTAAAATAATATTTTTTCCTAGTAGCAGATATTAGGCTATAGTTCTAATAGCTAATGTATAGTTAAGCCTATTCTATAATTTACTAACTTATTATTAACACGTTTTAAATATATTTAAGTTTTGCTCCCTACCTAATTTACTATAGTCCTTATTATAGGATAATAAGACACCTAGTAGTCCTTATAAATCCTTAAAGAGAAGCGCTTAATAAGGCTATAATAATAGCTTCTTATTTATAGTTCTCTTTGTAGAATTTTCTTAGGTACTATACTTTTTAAGGTTTAAATCTAATTATATAATATATTATTAATAATGTAATAAGAACACGTTTATAACATGTTCTTAAGATACTTATATACTTTTACCCTAGAGTATTAGTATTTATACTAGCTTGCTAGCTAGCTATTAAAGAATAGTAAAGTTATAGGCCTGTTAAGATAGACAGACTAGCAGGAGTATTATACCTGCTAGAATTAGAACAATTTAAGAACGTGTTCTTAACGTGTTACCTATATAGCCTGTACAAGCACCTCTTCTCTTATTAGGTAAGAGCTATCTTTATATTGCTAAACTAGTATTATATACCTATACCCTTAGCTATATAATTAAGGGTATGCTAGGAGAATAGCTATATACTTAATAATTGCTAGTATAAGTAGTAGTCCTTAACTATTACTATAAGTAAGGTATATATTATGCCCCTATAACGTGTTACTAACCTATTCTAAACTTGTTCTATTTACTTTTACTTACTTCCTTAATACTACTACTACTATCCTCCTCTAGCACTTTATATAGTTACCTAAATTTATCTCTAATATTACTATCTAGTTTAGATACGTTGTCTAGTACTGCTATACTAAACTCTAGTATAGTATTTAGGAACGCCTGTATATTATTAAGAATAGGTTTAGAACACGTTTAAAAAAGATAGTAATAAAAACTACGTTTACTTGCTTAAATTACCCTAATTTATACTTAACTATAGGCTAGTTTATATAACTATAAAAATTTGCCGCTGTGACGTGGACTTGAACCTACAGGGATATTCTAACCACTCGGAGTAAAGCCCAAGTCGCCCGACGCTAAACCCATGGTCATATGACATGCCACCACGCGCCACCTCAACGTGAGCCTTCCAGGTTTGCGAAGAGATGGTGGATGCTACAAGGGGTGGCAGCGCGGCTGACGACGACTTAACGTAGCCGAAAGTTGGCAGTAAAACGGGTCTTAGACCTTGGAACGGGGCGGCGGGTCTAGCTCCACGCGTGAGCTTAGACAGGCAGGCTTCTCTAGGCGAGGTAGAACTAAATGAGGGCATGTGGTCAGGTTGCCGCTTTTTCCGCTGGCGAGGTGATGTTTCAAGTCACATTTGGTCAACTCAGTTCAAGTTCTTCTGGCATTGGCTTAAAGGATTCCATGCACTGTGCAGATAGATAATTACACTACGTGAGAGTTTAAACGCCAAAAAAAAGAGTCCTAGATTCCCAACTTCGGTTCTGTGATGATAATGTGAAAGAAATTGCGTTATGCATTGGATCGTCGTGTGCGGCTCAGTTCCTAAGAGAAGTCAGTAAAATATATCTGGAAGCAGAGAAGGCAACTTACAGCAATCCGAGTGTAAGATCACCGTGGATCTTCGCCTTCAATTGAATTTCAATATCGAGATTGAGCTCCAATCGCAGTCGCAGTTGCTCGCCACCGTCTTTGCCGCCGCCCTCCTCCTCTTGGCCTTGATTACCACCTCCAGTCAGACCACCAAGGGCCTTTCCAGCAGTGTTACCAACAGAGCCGACAGCCTTGCCAGCAGTGTCTTGAACCATGTCGCCAGCACCGCCAACAAGCTCGCCTCCTGGTACGTTCTCTGTAATATCGTCAAGGGGGCCTCCTCCTTTTCCGCCCTTCTTTTGGCGCTGTCGGTTGCGACGGCCTCCAGATTGCGACACATCAGATCGAGCATCTGATTCAGCGCCAGAATCCTGGCCTCGTCGGCCACGGCCACGAGATTGGCGGCGCCTCGACTGTGACTTGGACTTCTCTGGTTGAGGTTCTGGGTCAGAATCGTCGGCATCGCCGTTGGTTTGCTTTCGCCCTGCGTCCTCTTGCTCAGCTTCTCCCTTTTCGCCGTCGCTTTCGGGGGCAGGAGTGGCTTCAGGAGTGGGCTGCTGTTGAGGCTTCTTTCCGCCCAGCTTCTTCGGCGTCTTCTTCTCGGTTTTCTTACTCGATGATTCTGCGCTGCCCTTTGCGCCTAGGGAAGCGTTGGCATCAGCCTGTCCCTCTCCAGAAATGGACTGCTTCGTCTCCTCAGTGGTGTCCGCCATGGTGTACTGTGGTATTCAGATATGGGTAAGGAAACGGTGTATGTTTGGTAACAAGTGATGATGCAGCAAATTGAAGGTACTTTCAGGGTATACAGAGGAAATCAAGACAGCGCAGCAATTTGTTAAAGAGAAAATCAGCACATGGACTGGAACCGGTTTGAACATTGAAGGTGCCCACAACCCCTGCCTAAGACAAGCCACCCGCCATGCAGACTGACGCAACAGTGGCACCTACAGTGAAGTGAGCACTGCACTGTACCCGCGCCTGCGCGGCCAGATGTAAAGAAGACCCGTCCCACAGGGCTGCAGAAACTTGTCGTGATCCCTGTGTTCCCAAGATGGTGGCATTTGCTGGTATGACGTGGGTCTTACTCACACTTCTGATCGACGGTGGATCGGTTTACCCACAGTAATTCCCGGTCATTGGCATACCTCGACGTCGAATCCCTGTGACTGGTCGTTGGGACCTTGACTTGCCGGCCAACTTTCCAGCGAGTAGTCGAGCTATGCGCCAGCTTAACAGGGTCGACATCAACGCCTCTGGGGCTGGGTGTTTCGAAGTTTGCATCATAAGATGGGTTTGTTCTTTGCCAGAACGGGATGACATGGCATCGGCAAAGGGCTTGGCCTCGAAACCTCTGTTAGTGTATCAGGTGATGAACGTTGCGGTATTGATGATGGCCATGATACACTCTCTCCTATCATCAGGCATTAGAATAGAAGTGTACGCAGCCGATGTTTGATTTGTCTAAGAACCGTTGTGCTAGAGTATTGAAGACGCAATCCATAGAGGCAAAGCGACCCGTGGCAAGTCGTGCAGGGGTCACCGTTGATCCGGACTTCCCGATGAAGCGAGGCTTGGCAGAGAAAGTGGGGGCAACTTTCCCATGTGACACCCATCATCTGCTTGTAAATACCTGAAGCTGACACCACCAACGTACGACACAATCTGAATCGTGTCTCTGTTAGCATGGCGACTCCTCAAGACCAAGAGACTGCCGCGAAACAGCGAATCATCAAGCATATGAATGCTGACCACCACGACTCCGTACGTGCTCTTCACTCCGTGTTAGCAACAGGGCCATTCGTGTCTTATTGTGCACCGTAGATCCGTCGCTATGTCGAAGCCTATGCTTCCACGTCCATGCTTCAAAGTCGCGATGCTCAAATGACCGACATCGACCTCAATCACATCAAGTTCAAATGTGGAGGCCAGGAATCCGTCATCACTTTCGACCCTCCTATGAAGGCAATGCGCGAAGCACGTGAGCGCCTCGTGCAACTCGACAAAGACGCTCTACACGTGCTAGGCCGCAGCGATATTACAATCACCAAGTTCGTGCCTGCCTACGTCAAGTTGGGACATCTATGGAACTTCACTCAATGCCTGCTGTGCTACCTGCTCCTGCCCCGGCCGGCCAACTTCAAGCCTGGATCGCTGCTCTATGAGACGCTTCTTTACCCGATTCCAGCTTTTGCTGAGTTTGTCGCTAGAACTGCATGGCTTGTTTTAACAATCATGGTCCCAATTCACCTGTTTGAATCTGGCTTGATGGCGAGAAAATTAGCCAGGCATGGGTGTACATTCCTGGATACAGTGTGGTGGAAGTGGGTCGGCACCTGCTTTGTGGAGGGCATCACATCTTTCTGGAGACTTGACGAGCTGATCAACGAGAAGCAGAAAGAGAAGGATGCAAGGAAGCACTGAGCATAAGCTATACGCGCACACGAGACTCGAGACCAACCAGACTCCCATCACTATACGCTATGTTCAGTGTTCAAAGAGCTTTGGAACTGTACTGGCTCAAGACCACATACTCGCCTGAAAGCTCTTGTGCTAGGACAGAGGTAGCATCTAGTGGAGCTCAATTCCATTATCATCCATGTCAGAAGAATACCATCTGTACTTGAAGGAAGAAGGAACGCATTGGCGAAGAGGATTTCGGGTATGCTAGTCTAGCCTGGTGTAGGCCGTGTTATAGTTAGTATAGCCCAGGGTGCTCATAACACCAGCAACTGTAATCAGACTTCAGTCGAGCGGGATCTCATGGGCCTAGTTATCGTCTTTGCAATGAAATCTGAGGTTTTTCACTTGTTAAAATACCAGTAAAATTGCCACGGCACTTTTGCGATCAATTCGACATCTACAGTACCTAGCCCGAACTGCCAAGTTGCTCATCGGTGAGGATGATGCAGAACGGGTAAATTGGGTGAAACATGGGTCATATCCACCAAGAGTCGCGAGCAATACCAGGATTTCCTCGGGATTTTGGCAATGGGAATGTCGGTACCTCTGGTGAATGAGGTCGAAAGACTATATAGAGTTGAACGGTGGTAGTGTTAGAGGCTGGGGAACAAGCGAATTGTGGAGAAGGTGGGATGGCTAGCGCTACCGGTATCGCGGACCCTTGCCGCCGATGCGGAGCGTCATATCTTTTCTCTGAGCGTGAACAGTCACAACACCAACCTTGTTTCAACTTTCACAGTAGTAGAACAGAATGGCATCAGAAAAGAAGGTAGCAGAGAACATGCTTTGGGGAGGTCGATTTACGCGTAAGTGGTCTCAATGCCCCATACAACGCTGGCAATACTCCCACCACGTAGCCGGATGCTGACCATTTTGCAGAGGGCCTTGACCCCGTCATGGAGCAGTACAATGCTTCCCTACCGTACGATCGCCTCTTCTACGCCGAAGATATTGCAGGCTCAATTGCTTTTGCTCGCGCCAACACAAAGACCGGCATCCTCACCCAAGACGAGTTTGCTGCCATTGAGAAGGGTTTTGCACAGATCAAGGAGGAATGGGCATCCAATACCTTCGAGGTCAAATCGAACGACGAAGATATTCACACAGCCAACGAGCGAAGGCTAAGCGAGATCGTTGGCAAAGAAATTGGCGGCAAGCTACACACAGGGCGGAGCAGGAACGACCAAGTTGCCACTGACATTCGCCTGTGGCTTCGTGAACAATTGAGGACGCTAGAAGAATACCTGAAGCTGTTGATCAAGACTTCACTGCAACGGGCAGAGGCGGAAATAGATGTCTTGATGCCTGGCTACACACATCTCCAGAAAGCACAGCCCATCCGCTGGTCACACTGGGTTCTTTCGCATGCCACCGCTTGGGCCTCTGAGCTCGAGCGCCTCCGAGAAGTCATAAAGCGCGTAAATCGCTCTCCTCTCGGCTGCGGCGCACTCGCTGGAAACCCTTTCAACATTGACCGAGTCGCCGTGGCCAAGGAATTAGGCTTTGAAGGTCTGCTCACCAACTCCTTGAATGCTGTAGGAGATCGAGATTTTGTGTTCGAGACATTACAATGGGGTTCGAGCCTCATGCTCAAGATGTCCCGATGGGCTGAAGATTTGATCATCTATTCCAGTCTGGAGTTTGGCTATGTGCGGTTAGCAGACGCATACTCCACCGGAAGTTCGCTCATGCCACAGAAGAAGAATGCAGACTCTCTTGAACTGATTCGTGGCAAGAGTGGTCGTGCATTTGGACACATGGCTGGCTTGTACGTCACCATAAAAGGCCTACCCACGACATACAACAAGGATCTTCAGGAGTCTGTCGAACCGCTCATCGACCACATCAAGACTGTGAGCGATTCCATTCAGATCGCCACTGGTGTACTATCCACAATGACCATCAGCCCCGAGAAGATGCACGCAGCGTTGACACCCGAGATGTTGGCGACTGAATTCGCAGACTATCTAGTCAGAAAGGGCGTGCCTTTCCGTGAGGGCCATCACGTATCTGGGCGTGTTGTTGCGTTGGCGGAAAACACAAACGTCCCCATGGACAAGCTGAGCTTGGAACAATTGAAGGGGATTGATGAGCGATTAGGCGACGATGTCCTGGAATGCCTGGATTACGAACGAGCCGTGGAACTGAAGAACTCGACAGGTGGTACCAGCAAGCGTGCCGTGCTCGAGCAGGTGAAAATTTTAGAGCAGGTCCTCGAATGATCGCTCGCTTACGAGGGTTGTGTAGGCATGACCTAAGAACATGTGAGAAGGCGTCCGGGACGATTGAATTATGAGTTCATACGCAGAAGACATGACAATAGAATGACTGCGACGTTATAGAGGTGTTATTATTGACATTTAGTGGTTTTCTAAAAACGCTTGCCTAATCGACTTGTTCGACTAGCGGGTATCGTTGGCTTCTTCCATCTGGATTTGCCTGTCTTACTCTCAAGTATTTACTCCGGAATATTATAACCCGCAAAATACATACATTCCATAAGGCGCCATACCATGCAAACTGAACGAAATCTTCATCCCTTAAGCGCTCTGTTCCACTCGACGATGACCGCATCCTAGCACCCCGAAAATGGCTCGTGCTGTTCATGGTCGAGCATCCTACCAGAATTGTGTCTCTTCATCCTCAAGTTCTGGGTTAAGCAGCTTCACAGGCTCCTCCATATCAACCCAACCCATGTATGGCTTACGCGCACCAAAGCCAGCGAAACGCTGAATATACAAAGGCAACTCCTGGATTTTTTTCAGGTCGTTCGCAAGGTATTGGCTTTCTTCTTGTCTCAGGTATCCCCGTGTCGCAAATGCTGCGTATACTAGCCGCTCCTCATTTGTTGTCGTGTTCTCACCAGCGCCATGATAACACCCTCCTAGCACAAAGAAAGCATCGCCAGGCAGCATCTCAGCATGTGAAAACATTTCTGGCGAAGCTTCGTATAAAGGTGGTGGCTGTGTGTAGTTCCAGAGATGAGACCCAGGCACAATGCGGGTTGCACCATTTTGCTTGGTGCAGGGCTTACCAGCTAGGAAGAGGCAGAGCACGGTGTCTTGTCCCAGGTGGTGTGAACGAGCTGCAGGGTGCTGCGTATGGTAAATGTCATCGTCGCGATGGAGCCCTTGTGCTTTTGTTCCGGGTCCAACCGAGAATGAGATGGTAGTTGAGAGCTGAGGTTTGCTTATGCTGGTACGTGCTTCATCTCCATGCCAGGAATCGGCCAATTGACTGATAAAAGTTCATCGCAAACACGATGCCAGATCTTGTTGCCTGCAACTGATAGAGCGTACGTTCTCGATTTGCTCAAAAGACCTGTGACCATTTTTGTTGATGATGGCACAAAGTCTTCGCGTTTTGTCGCCGCTCGCAGTGTTGATTGGATATATGGTCAAATCTCACCTTCCATTGTATCAAGTGTACTTTGAGAGTACATATTACGAACGAGACATCCCCCAGATATCTTCAAGGCCGCGACTATATCAGCAACGAGGGCATCATCGTCACCGTATGATGAGCAGTCGAGCTCTGCAATGCAAGGATTAAGGGAGGATCTCGTGGACTTTTCTTGCTCCTGGGCGGCGTGACCGGTGGAGGTTCCTGATTCATCAAATTGTAGTCCTGGAGCCATGATGGTATGAAAACTATGACAAGATGTAATATCGAAATTTGGAGATGGAGATTTGTGAGTGTGAAAAGCGACTTGAACTTGGTACCTAATGATCGACAGGTACAACAGGATGATCTCCCGAGATATATGTTTCTCGTCTGATACGCATAACAAAGCACATGATACATCGTCAACGCTTACAAAACTACTGTTCAGTGACTATTGGATCAAGTAGAACATACGCATGCACCCCGCACCACAAAGTCGTCGGTCTCGCCCGTCAGTTGCCGCTCAGCTAACGCGCGCTTGTCTGTGCTGAATTGAGAGTCCCATCGAACTATTTCCGCACACCAATCCCTAATATATGCAATGCGTATTTGTGGCTTGAAGGTCTCGAAGCTACGCATACACCGCCAGAATGGTGGAGCTGAACAGCCTCGCCTTGGCGCATCTCTACCTCAGCTCCGACACCACAATTGTGATTTGACCTTTGCTCAATTCCTCTTGTAGGCACGAAGTATGGATTTAATGTTTCCCAGGCCTTGTTGTTTAATGGATACGATTCAAGTGGGAGCTAACGACTAGATACATGTAATGCATATGCAACCGAATAAATCCAAGTCAAACGTCAGACACCGTCTTTTCCTACCAGAGACCTCCACATTCAGCCAATTTTTAACGTCTGGTCTGGCCAAAAATTGGAGACTCTGACTAGCCTGCGCTGCGCTGTCCCAAACAGTAGCCCCGACTCGCTACACTACGTCTAGCAAAGTTTCGAAAGCTAGTCGAGCGCAGCTGAAACTACTCCTTTCAGGACTACAATGCTTTTCATGCGGCCGCCCCGAATAATCAAGGACACTTCAACGCCATGCGGTTGAAGCACGAAGCTTCCACATGTTGTTTGGGTAACCAGGAGACCCTCGTTACTGCCAAGATGTATTCTGGGTTATATCACTGCTTTGCCATAAAATTTTTATATCATCAGACGAACAAATTTCTCAATATACTTCTTCATTTTCTCCATGTCAAATTTGAGCGCTTTTAGAAACTCGAGAGCTCTGATACTTTTCACAATATGTGTGGCTATGTTCTCGGATGGGTTCACGTATGGCATTGTCACGCCTGTTATGCCGTTTCTACTGCAGGACGAAAATCTGCTCATCAAGAATAATGGTGGGAACTTTGCCAATAATTGACCACGAGGAAAGTGACTAATTTGTAAACAGTACAGCTCACGACTTCACTCCTCATTGCTGCCTTCTCCATGGGTGATTTCTTCGGTGCTCGTAAGTTTCTTGGTAAAATACTCGTAAAATGGCTGACCAAGTGGACTCAGCACTATGTGCATGGTACGTCGACCGCACTGCAAGTCGACAACTACCGTGGTATTTCGGCATCATCCTCATCACTGCGGGAAGTATCATCTTCGGTACCTCCACCAACATTGCAATGTTGATGTGTAGTCGCATCCTCCACGGCCTCTCCTCTTCCATCCTTTACACGGTTGGACTCGCAGTTCTGGTGGATACCATCGATAAAGAAGAGGTTGGCAAATGGATGGGCACAGCCATGAGCTGCAATAATATTGGTATCATCGTCAGCCCTCTTCTCGGCGGTATCGTCTATGACCAGGCCGGCAAGAACGCCGTCTTCGGCATCATGTTGGGCCTAGGTGCCCTTGACATCCTCCTCCGCGTTACTATGAAAGAACGACCCAGGACAATCATGACCTTCACCGCAACTACGGATAGCTCCGCAACCCTGGTTGAACAAACTGAAAAGCACAAGCCGCTACCAACCATCACCATCCCCTCCCGCCCCTCAAGTCCAACAACCAACGACTCCAAGCCCACCATTCACCAGACCCCAAGATCCCGTTGCTTCCCAGGTATCCTTGCGCTCCTCCGCCAACTCCGTCTTCTCGCCGCTCTCTATGGCGTCTTCATCAACGAAACAATCATCGCCTCGCTCTGCGCAACCCTTCCCCTCTTCGTCCCTCATCACTTCCACTGGACCGCCCTCCCAGCCGGCCTCCTCTTCCTCTGCATCGCGATCCCCGCCCTTGCAGGACCACTCGCCGGCGCGCTATCCGACCGCCTCGGAGCCCGCTGGATCGCCATCAGCGGCTTCACCGCCACCGCGCCGCTGCTAATCCTACTCCGGCTCGTCGAGCACGATACTAAGGTACAGAAAATTTTCCTCTGTATGCTGCTAACGCTTGCGGGTACCGCTGTGACACTCTTCCTGGCGCCACTGGGGGCCGAGTGCTCGTTTGTGGCGGAGGAGACGTCGCGGGTTATGGCGTGTGATTTGTATGCTAGTAGTTTCAGTCTGATGAATTGCGCGCTTGCGTCTGCGGGGCTGTTGGGTCCGTTGGCGGCGGGGGGGTTGATGGAGGCGGTGGGGTGGAAGTGGATGACTGTTGTGTTGGGGTGTTTTTGTGCGACGGGGATTGTGCCTTGTGCGCTTGTGACGGGGAATAGAAGAATGGCGGCGAAGATGGCGGGGGAGGGGAGGGGAAGTATTGTGTTTGTGGGTTGAGAATGACGATGAATGGGAAAGTTTGGGGTTTGGGAATAGGTATAGATTATGGTTATGGTAATGAATAACGATATATATATATAAATGTTAGAAAGACACAATGCTCGCTAATGGTATCACTGTGGCATCTCCCTTCTTTTCGCAAGACTTGTGAGTAATATACCGTACGTCTTACTTACAGTTCGAGAGAGACTGGAGAGCTTCAATCTTTCATCCCACGCACCCATGTAAAAGCTACAAGATATCGAACCCAATCCGACCCTGCCAAAAGAATCCCCAATATACCTTCAATCACTTATCAAACAGCTCCAACCATAGCCCGAACACCCCCAAGCTCACCCTACACTACCCCCCTCCGGCGCACCAACCCCACTCACATACCACCCTCTCGTCATCCTTATGCTGCCCACATCAAAGCACACAAACACATATTCTGCGCCGTCACAGGTACTCGCTCATCGACTTTTGTACAAAAAGATACGGAGAGACGATGCTATCTAACTATGACACCTTGATGATATTCGTCAGGTATCTAGTTTCAAAGGCATTTAGAGGACCTTTGGGTGTGAAGGTTGGAAGGCGATGCAAAATGTTAGGAAACTATTGTGAGGCTAAATTCCGTAATCAATTCAATACAACCTGCACCGTCGTATTGTCAGTTTTAGCTGCCATAGTTGTATTAACCATCAGGCTTGCTTGATACAGAAACACCAAGTTCTACAGCATAGCCAGGCTCTCTTTCTCTATACAGCTATCGAACCACTGGCTACTTGGGTTGGCAATGCCTTTCGCCAGCGGACGTGGATACATGCGTCTCGAGTTTTCATATTTGTAATTCAATTCGTGTCTTCAGAACCCTCGAAATGCTGCTCGTTGTTAGAACATTAGCAAGCAAGGGTGCAGTTGAAGATACAAGATTATAGAAATCACAAAAAAACATGCCTCAAGATTCCAGGATACTAGAGTTCCTATATCTTGACTCTACGAATTGCAGGATGTGGAGATAGCCAGCTCAAGTCCCTCCAGATTTGCTATGAGAGGAGACGGAAGATTCCAGTGAGAGGAGCACAGCATCTTGATACGGCACCCGTGTAGCCTCCCCCCGCACGAGCACAGCCTGCATTGACCGAGCTAGAACACGCAGCTGAGCCTTTTTGCCGCTTTGTGCAGGACCTTCATCAAAAGCGGGGTACGTCCGAGGAATTCCGGGAGTTCTGATTGAAGTGGCCCATGACTTCAAGGTGAATATGCGAGCACGCTCGGACAGTGAGGGAGTTCTATCAACGACTTCGGCTGAGAATGTTATCTGGACGAAACCAGGAGAGCAAAGTCGGTGTTTCCAAACAGTACCAATACAACCAGAAGTTTAATAAGATATGTCAAAGGACAGGACTCAAGGTGTCACGCGTATGTCGATTTTTAGATGTGCTGTTCTGCAGTGTGTCCTTCGATCAAAAACTTACCGGTACGGCACTCCATTCAGAATTAGTGTCAATCAGTGAGAGCATTGCGGCCGCGGCTTTGGCTGGCTGTTGGCGCATGGGCTTCCTTCGGCAGCAAACTGAGGTACCTGGAACATCAAATCATGGGAAGAAAATGATCTAGTATGCTCTTATACCTAAAGAGGCGTGGTGTATCTAGACGTACTACTATTCGTTGTCTTTGAACGTGGCCAAGCCTTCTGGATCGACAGATCGTTTGTGAGGCATATAATAATCTGCGATGGTCCCTGCCAGTAAGCGCATTACCGTAGATCTGTGTCACTCAGGGGTATATGCTGATGTTCATGTTAGCTGGACTTTGAATCCTAACAGGTTACCTAATGCACGTCTGTAAACTTGTATCGACAACAATGACATCATTGCACTTTGGCGAACATCAATGAACGCATCCTTCAAGCCACGATCGCCGCTCCGATTGATATAAGATCAGCAACTTTGGTAGATTCTTCTCGGACCGGAGTATTCGGCTTGACTTTTGACATTCGGTACACGCACGAACATGGTATAGTTGCCAGTACTGGTAGCCCGGTCGCCACACTTTTTGCTTCGTCCCGAGCTGGTCTGACACACCCGTCCCGAGCTGGTCTGACACACCATCTCGCATCGTTCCCTGTCGCCATCCTATACGGTGCTACTACCTTCTACCGTTCTCTACCACTGAACTAGAGTAGCATTGGGAACCTTTCCCTTTTAGTTTCCACGAATAGAAAATCAGTCCGTCAGCTGCTGCTGAGCGACCTAATGGGTATCTGTGCAGCGCGGCGCCCTGTGCCATCTAAATGATTGTCATCCACACACAGATGGTTCTGCCTAACTCTATCACAGTGCTAGTATATCATGCAGCTAATCAGCCACCTAGATAGCCAAGAACATTGTAGATCGAGCGGCGAACAAGCGAGCAGGGTGACAGGCAAGATGGTGCACACAAGAGATCATGTACTTTCAGAGATGGTCTAGTGCTACCGCTCTGGCCTGTATCCCCCCACAAATGGGGGGGATCTCGCCATGAACCATATGACGTGCATACGTATAGTATGGATCTTCTGTAACCCTTTTAGGATATAACTGCATAAGGAACTTGTCGAATTTTCAAGATTGTCTCAGCAGTCAAAACTGGTAAAACCATACTCGGACTCGCCCGATATGGTAAATTTTTAGTAACCATACGGTAGGTAGTGTTAACACAATGATATAAACTCTATAGAAATTTTGCCTAACTAGGAAGAGACTCAGGATACCAAGCACCTAATGCCAGACACCGTGTCCAAGTGCCAAGTGGTGGTGAGGTCGAGGAGTATGCGTTCAGATACGAACAGTGAGTGCATATCTTATAATTAACTCATGTATTATCCACACCCTCAAACCTCCGCCAAGTTAAGAATAATATGTCTTTGTGCATATCTGGACGCCACAATTGAGATCTGGTCAAAGCAAACGCGCATCCAAGCTTGACTAGCAGCTGGAATAGGAGGCTTCAGCATTTTCCGGTATGTCAGCCTGTAGAAAAACAGTGGCATATGCGCGTGTACGCGTACAGGAGCATCATAGAAAGGCGAAAAGAACAAGGGATATGCAGCCTTTGCATAAATGTATACGACATCAAACATCTCAACACACCACTCTGGTGGGATGATCTACCAGCTTGACCTGGTCAGTGGTCTATTGACAGTGTCGAGTACAGGGGAACACAAGTCTGTCTTGAACTTACGGTAGCAAGTATGCAGAGTATAATGGAAATTGTACCTTTTAATAAGGCCACATTGTGTATAAAAGACACTCACGATCCTGCCCAGGAGTTTCTCTATCTCATCAGTTTTCTACTATCTTTTGCATCGGCAAGACCACCAAGAATCTTCTACATACAATAACTTCTGAATCATAGTGCTGTGAGCCTCGATTACGCATACGTCCGAGACCTAGCTGACGTACTTGCCTGTAGACACCATGTCCAACAACACCGTGCAACCTTACGGCCCACTACTTGTCACCTTGACATGCAAGTACGATTTGGCATGGAGCGATGCGGGCAGTGGAGCAGACAAAGATGGTTCCTTCTGGACACCCAAATCCCAGAACAATGGAAGATTGCGCCCACTTGGCTCTGTGGCCATCAGGTCTTACGCCGGCGCCAACGACAACCGGGCCACGATTCTGGTAGGCGACAATGGCCAGCGGGCAGTGGCTTCACCTACTGGGTACTCATGGATCTATGATTCTACGGGCACAGGCTCTGGCAGTTTCGCCTGTGTCTGGCGTCCCATAGCCCCAGCGGGTTACGTGGCAATGGGTGACGTCCTTTGGGGAGGAAGAAATGCCCCCCCTCTCGACCATGTCTGGTGTGTGCGCAGCGACTTAGTAACCCAAGGCGAGTATACTTCGCCACAAGTTTGGAACGACAACGGCTCAGGCGGCGAGCACAGCGTCGGCATATGGGCAGTCCAGCCGCTCAGGGGCGCCCGCTACGATGCCGATAAGGTTCCTTTCTTTGCCGACACATTTATATCTATCAACCACGCAGATACTGTGCCCAACAATGGCCTGGCACGCGTGCTACTCCTTCCTGTGCCGGCTCAACTGTCCGATATTGTCCCCCTACCTCCCGTTCTCACCAGTCATACAGCGCCGACCACGACCACCTCATTGGAGAAGGAACGAGAAGTCAAATTGCCCTTCATCTGTTTATTCCCCCCCACCGACCGCCCGAGTATCGACCGCATAGACAATCCCTTCTGCAGTATCCAGCGCTGGGGCAGTTGGTCTCTATCCATGTGGGATGACAACACGACCAGCCGCGATCAGGACAGCTCAACATCCACCACGGTTGGTGTAAGCGACTCTCAATCTGAGGAGTTTTCACACAGTGCCGGTATCAAGATCACCAGTGGTGCCGGTATCAGCGTCGGCGTTTTCAATGCCAGCGGTTCATACGAGCTTAATTATCAGTTCACCTACACCAGTAGTACTAGCCGTGAGCTACTGAGCAGCAAGACTGTGACACGAAATTTGAAGACGCCACCCGGTAAGGCTTGTGCTCTTTGGGTACGCCATTTTGTTTTTCGTTCAGTCCGCGCTGATGGGTCGAACATCGGGTACGACTTGCCCTTCGATGTCAACGTCTTCAACCATGCCGAGTTTCCTGCTTGAAACCGGCGCCATCGTCTTCCAGAGCCTGTTCCATAGTCGTTGGGGTCACTTATGCATCTTGTTACGCTCATTCATGCAGCATAGCCTTGATTTCAACAATCTTTGCCAGTGCAAGTAGGTATCAAGGACTCTCCTCGCGCAATCAACGTTTCTGTCCATCAAATTCTGATCATCGTACCCCATGAGTGAGTCGCACATTGTCGCCGAGCACCCACCAAAACTCCCTCCATTATGGCACATAACAACCTGCTTAGCACTGTATAGCACAGTACAACACATATATCATTCGGTGACCACTTCGACTACTCTCTCCCCTAAATTCCTAAGAAGAACTTTTGACCTGCTTTACCAGCAAGATAGCCATCCTGCCAAACGCGCATAACCCAGCGGACAACTGCTTGATAACTCCATATGCAAACTGCCTGAAAATCTGAAAAGTGGTAGATTACATTGATCTGAGTTGACTCATGGTTCGTCCTTGTACGTGACACTTGCTGCATGTTGATGGTGCTCTTCTTCGTCCAGAACCATTGCATGCCCCTTAACCCTGTTAGACGAGTCTTTACAGAACCACTGCGCAGAATCAAAACTAGAGAACTCTGTCGAGCTTAAAACATTGCTATGCTAAAAACGCGAATTGCCTTGCGGGCGATGTCAAATCAAGGTTCGCAGTAGCATCGTCAGGGCCATGGCTCGATCTTGTTTCAAACGAATATGGTATGACCCACAATTGCGGGCCGATGAATGCGACTGTGAAACTGCAGCATCAGGCCATCACCCAACCTGTTATATAATGACTGTCTCTTCTTCCATTCGATTCGAAATATGCACGGATCAAGTGATCCAAACCGCGCTTTCAGTAGCCAACAGAGATCCCCAGCTCTCAATCGGTCTCATCTTCTTCCTCATGCGCTGCGGCCCACGGGCTTCTTTTGCGCAACGATACTCCCCGTTTCTCCAGCACAAATGGAATAGGCATAAGGCAGATAGCTATGGCCATCAAGACGAGACTTGCACTCCGCGTCCCGATGTTGACGAATAGACTTCTGCCGACAAGCGGAAAGCCAGCGCCAGCTAAATTTCTTACCAGTCCTATTCCTGCGAGAGCAGAGGCCGAGTATGTCTTGTAGGCATCTTCTGTATATGTCAAGGTCATGAGAACTAAAGACGGTATTAGTGTCAATCTCGAGGCTCTGGACCCCGCTGGCATTGGCAGCTTTTCTTTTCGGCAACAGGTTCTAAATCTGACTTACTGAGTGTGTAGAAACTCCAACCCCAAAAGAAAGATGCCAGTATCGGGAAAATTGGGTGAATACTCGGCGTCGCTGTGAAAGCAAAACATAGAAGAGACACTGGCAATACCACAGCGGCAAACTTCGCGCAATGAACACGTGCTTCTGGGACGTCGCGACCTCCAGCTTTAGTAACCTGGTGTTGGTAGTGCCTCTCCTGGAAAACATTGGTCAGAAGCCCTAGACTAATACCCAAAACAATACCAAGGAAGGATATGCCAACGCCTATGGTGTCGAAACCGTACCCTTGAGGACCAAAGATCATGTGGAAAGCTCCGTTGAACAGGAACGAAAGTCCGTATAAGAAGCCGTTGTACAGAGCACCAAACTGAACAATGGCTTCTCCCGACAGGAAGCGAAACGGTCGTGCAAGTGCTTGTCCGAAGAGTTGCGCTGTTTCCCGCTGCTTGATTTCATCTGGTACTTCAAGCTCTTCATTGCCAGTCGCTTTACGCAATGCTCTTGCTCGGCGAAGGAGTATCACGCTATGCCTTGTCTCTCCAATGGCATACAATGCAACAACCATGACGATCCAGAAGGCGAAGCAAATGAAGAACATGACGAGGAACACGCCATGCCATGATCGTCCGTGAGCGATGAACGAGAAGAGGACAAAGCCCGTGGGAGATCCGCCGGTAGCTGCCCACAAGAACCACGACATGGCTGTACCGGTTTCATGATGGTGGTATAAGTCCGCGATGGTCCCTCCAAAGTTAGATATCGTTGTCGAAGCAAAGTAGCCAGAGAAGGCGCGCAGGACGAGAAAAGGGCCTAGGCTCTCCACATACGCTGTTCCAAGTAGCAGCAATAAGAATATGCCATAAGATACAATATAGACGGGTCGTCGTCCATAGTACTCAGAAAGAGGTGCGAGCGTCATAGGACCAAAGGCTAGGCCGAGAATGTACATACTGAGCCCCAGGACGGCCACTTGCGGTGAGACACCAACATCTTTGGCAAAGTCGCCTGCTACAGGGCTAAAACCACTTGCACCCCAGGAGACACTGAGATCTATGGGTATGATGGCTGCTATCATGAGCCATTTTCGAATATTTGACCAGTTGTGAGGATTATCTGGGTCGTTTGGACAGAAGTTGACCACATTTGCGGGTGTGGGTATTAGCAGAGGCTCGCTCTCCCCACGGAAGAGACTCATTGCTCCTAGTATCGGGAATGGTCAAGATTATTCTCTTATTGTCTTTTCTGGCGTGTGGAGGAGTTGTTAAGCTGTACATGATGCGGTTGAAGCTTGAGCTGTGATGACACTGATGACAAGAGAGGTGGGCTTCATGCACGTGCTAGGTAACTTACGTCATGCTAGTTCATTTGACAGGATCAAATGACTTCTGAAGCTCGCCGTATGCACTACGACAACTACGTTTCACCTCTGCTCAAGGATACATGCATCTACTATATTCCAACTACCGCTTCGCATTAGGCACTACAACAAGCATGAATATGGGTTACTCTACGACACGCACGGCCACCAAACGACGTACACATACTGTCATGAACTCCTCGGACCCGTTTCGCTCGGTGTCACCTCTACCGAGAATCCGAATTGCATCGCGTTCCCCAGACGAACCCCTCGAAATTGCCCCAGACAAGGACCAGGATGATCCCGCTAGCGTTGTTTAATTTCCCGGGGGAGATGATATAAACATTACCATGGACCGTACCTGACCAGGGAAATCTGCAGCCTCGATCGGGCCTTGGAACTGTTGCTATGCGCTCTCTGACAGCTACCGCAGCATTGCTGCTGTCTTCGACGACATTGGCGGTCCTCAATGTGAGCCAGAACAACAACAGCTTGACACTTTCTAATGAGAGGCTTGTCGCATCGGTTACCAAGACTCGTGGGTCCATCAACCTCCTGACTTTGGATGGCCAAAATCTCTTGGGTACGGAGAGTGGGAATACTGGTATTGGACCCTATTTGGATTGCTATTGCACTCCCTCGGGCTTCTGGACACCGGGTCGTGGAAGAGATGTGACCTACAAGCTCTACAATGGCACAGATTCAACAGGCACCAGGTACGGTGGAATCAGTATGGGTGAAACCTATGCGCCCACGGGACAGCGTTTGGAGCAGTACTGGTTCTTGAGGGAGGGAGAGACCGGGCTGCACACTTTCAGCCGAGTCGTCTATAAAAATGAGACATCGCCCTTTTTGCGGAATCTGCAAGAGTTCCGCACCCTGTTCAGACCAAACCACAATCCACCACTCTTCACCCATTTCGTCACCAACGAGAAATTCTCTGCACCGAGACCAGACACTACGGGCCAGGTCACAGTTCAGGATGCTACTTGGTGGCTTCCCAACAAGGAATCTCCGTACGTGAAGGGCGTTGGAGACTACTTCACCAAGTGTAAGCACCATATCGACGTAGCATTTGCTGCACATTCGAGCGCACTTTTCTAACCCAAGACCTCAGACACATTCCAAGATACATGGCGCGACCACAAAGCTCATGGTATGTATGCAGACGGATCCGGCAGCGGAAACGGCTCGACATACGGCGCCTGGCTGGTCCACAACACAGTCGACACGTACTACAATGGCCCTGTCCATTCCGACCTTGTCGTCGACGGCATTGTCTACAACTACATGGTCAGTAACCACCACGGCAATCAAGTCCCCAACATCACAAACGGCTTCGACCGCACCTTTGGCCCGCAATACTACCACTTCAACAAAGGCGGCTCACTCGATCAACTCCGCCGCGACGCAGAGCAATACGGCCTCCGCCCAGATTGGAACGCCGCCTTCTACGATTCCATCGCCCACCACGTACCCAATCTCGTCCCAACCTCCGGCCGAGGCACCTTCCAAGCCAAAATCCGCCTCCCCAAGGGTGCAAAGAACCCTATCGCCATCCTCACCGAAACCGGGCACGACTACCAAGATAATGTCTTCGACCCAAAAGCCTACCAATACTGGTCCAACATCTCCCCAACCGGCACCGTCCACATCCCTCGCGTAAAAGCAGGCTCCTACCGCCTCACCCTCTCCGCCGACGGCATCTTCGGATCCTACACCCAAGACAACATCCGCATCCACGCCCGCAAAACAACATCCCTCCCGCCAACAAAATGGACCCCGGAATCCGCAGGCACAGAGCTCTTCCGCATCGGCACCCCAGATCTCTCCGCAGGCGAGTTCCGCCACGGCTCTGCACCTTCCACCACACACCCGCTCCTCACAGAGGAATACCGCCTCTACTGGGCCGCCTACGACTTCGTCACCGACTTCCCCCGCGGCGTCGTGTTCAAAGTCGGGCGAGACGCTGTTGCTACCGCGCTCAACTACGTGCACTGGAGCGTGTTTGGCGGAAAAGCGAATTTCGCGCGCCCGGAGCCAGTGCTCGAGAATGTCAGTAATTGGACTATTCTGTTTGATGCAGAGGCGCGGCAACTCGCGGGCAAGCACAAGGCGACCTTTACGGTGCAGTTGGCAGGTGCCAAGACGGCCGCGGGAAATACGGATGTGTTTAATGCAAGTGAGAGGTATAGCAATTTGCCGTATATGGTGAATGTAAATGGGAGGGATTTGGAGCCGTGGGTGATTCCGTAAGTCTTTTGTCTACCCTCAATCCTCTCTTCTATCCGCATCTCTCCTCCCCCCTCTACCCACCCAAGCTAACCAAACCAGCTCCAACCAATCTTCCTCCTGCGCCGTCCGCTCCGCCGTCATCTGCTACCACCTCGCGCACAAATTTACTTTTGATGCCGCGTTCCTCAAGGCCGGAGAGAATGCATTTGTATTGAGTTTGCCGTACAACGCCACGAACTTTGAGAGTGCGTTGTTACCGGAGAGCGTGTATGTGCAATATGATGCGTTGAGGTTAGAGGTGGAGTGATTATTCTTTGGGATATGGGGTGTATGGAGGGAATGATGATGAGGGAGAATTGCAAAGAGTTTGAATTATTACAATCATGTACTTGCTTGAAACCTAATTTACACACTCCACTGGTGTAACACTTTCAACCAGCGGGTGTTGTATTCAACTTTTTTCCTCCAGTCGCCCAATGCATTGGCAAGTAACCTTCCCAGAATTCAGGTATTCCAATCTTCTCACATCATAACGTCTCATAACCGCTCAAGACACTTCCTCGACCATCCTCCCCGTCCAGGACCGTGAACTGCTCTTCTGTGCTCGGCCTGCAAACAAGCTGCCCACGGGAGCCTTGAGCCACTCGTCCGGCACAGCGAGAGCGGTGCCCTTTGCATTCTGAACGTAGCGGACAAACAGGGGATTTGCGCGTTCGGCCTCCTCTTCCTCGCCGCCGGAGCCGACGTCCTGGACGACGCGACGACCACGTTTAGGTGGTTGTTTCTTGAGGAGGCGGTTGATGGTGTCGAGCTGGGGTTGTGGGTTAGTATGGGAGTGGGTAAGAGGAGATGGGAATGGGACGGTTGGGAGCAGACCTTTTCTTCCTCGTTTCTCTTCTCGCTGAGATTCTTCCTCCGTCTTGCCATTTCCGCACGTCGCATGGCGTGTTCCTCGGCTGTGAGATGCTTCTTCTTTTGGGCCTCGTTGGACAGGGCGAGAAGGGCTCCGTCCTCTTCCTCGGCCATCATGGCGCGTTGGCGTTTGGTCATTTTGCTGACATCGGGCGTTTGATCGCGGCTCAGGAGTTCCCCATCGCTGTCCATCTCCTCCTCCATGCCATCCGCTTGGGTGACGTCCATGTCGTCGTCATCCTCACCCTCTGCGTCTTCGTCTTCGCCCTCTGCATCCTCTTCTTCACCGTCGAGGTCTGAGTCGGGCTCGCTGAGCTCCTCGTCGTCTGAAGCGTCCAGGGCCATTTGCTTTGCTTTAACCGAATCTTGGGCTTTTGTGATGCTTATCGCTGGTTTGGCGGGCATGTTTCGACTTGATGGTGCGACGGCGCGCGGCGCAGGTGTGTCGTCCGTGTCCTCGTCCTCGTCGCCTTCGGCGTCCATGTCCTCATCTTCGTCCCCGTCGGCATCCTCTTCCTCTTCCTCCTCGTCCTCCTCCTCATCGTCCTCATCGTCCTCATCCACATCCATGACATCTGCTTCTTCGGCATCCTCGTCCTCCTCCTCGTCTTCATCACTGTCGACTTCACGCACGACACGGCTGCTCCTAGATGCGCGCTTGCCTGATACAATATTTGTCCTGCTGACTCGGCCCTTGGGTATGTCACCGCCACCAGTGGCCTGTCTGAGCTTGCCAGGTGAGGATTTGACGGTCAGGTGTATCGACTGACGTGTCTCTTCAGGCGAGGAGCGCTGGATGACGGCCGCAGCGGGTGATTGGTTCGCATTGTAGCGTCTTGGGCGGGTGGAAGTGGCAGAAGGAGCAGCACTAGGAACTGTTAGAGGTGCTGCTGGAGCTGCGCGCGAGCGTAGGCGAGGCATTGTTTTGTAGGGCGAGGAGGAGACAGCAGGTGTAGTGTAGCTGGTTGGAGTCGGGGTAGAGAGGGGTACAGGATAGATAATGGAGTCGTAGAGAGGAGAACAGAAGAGAAGAGAGAAAGCAGCGGCAGGAGCAGTAGAGAGCAATAGAGAGCAAAGTGACAATCAGGCAATGGCGGCTCTGGGAGAGAAGAGGTGCAATGCAGCAACGCGCAGGGGTGTTGAGGTGGCGCTCTCTTCCCTTCTGCGGCTCAGCCTGTCTTGTTTGTCCACGGCCGACGGGTTGATGCAGGTTGATTAGGTGTTAGGTTACAGTTCACGACAGTGCAGTCTACTCGGACTAACTCGTAGGATGCTCGCGCCTGTCTTGTCGCCTGTTTGCCCGTTTGCCCCGTGCCCCCGTATGCTGTGCTCCCCACCGCCGCCGCCGCTGCTGCCCGTTGCGCGTTGGGAGTAGGTAAGCCAACACTTGAGTTGGTCTTCTTGTCACATACCTGCTGCTGGTCCTGCTCTCGTCATACTCGGTACTTATGCGGCGCATCCGCTTGGCCGCCCGGTCCGCCATTGCGAGGGCCAAGGTGGTTGATTGAGCTTGGTATATTCGTTTTCTTCGATTGGCAATAATCAATTAATTGCAAGGGTTGTGCTAGAGAGAAACAAGACCGGGTGACGCGTTGCGACGAATCAGTGGGGAGACGTAACTTTCTTTACTTTTGGCTGTGTCGCGTTGTTGGTCGAGAGTCCGTTTAACTTGGGTGGCTCTAGTCTACTTTGAGATGGACGAGGATGCCATGAGATCCTAGCACTGCACATCAACCCACAGTTGGAGGGACGACAGATAACTGTCACGTATAGTCTTTGTTTCGCTCTAGTTGTTTCTTTGGTTGAAGACCTTCCACTCAAAATCTCACACATCAAAAACGATACATCAGACGTAGATTGTACCGTAGTCAACTGTGTTTCATTCTTGGTTCCTCAACCCTAGGTACCTATTGTTGCAGCACCATTCCACACTGTCAACATCAAACAACCTCTACAATCCCAATGCACTCTTCAGAGTTGCCTCGAAATCCTCTTTGGGCAGACCCAGCTTCTCGTTCCACAACCCTTGACCAGATATATCACACAAGTAGTCTTCTGCGCCAAAAATCATGGCTTGGATGAGATCCCCCACGGCGCTGAAATCCTGCCGTTGCAACTTGGCCCGTCCCTCCTCAATAAGCTTCTTCGTACTCTGCTTCTCTACCGTCCATTGTGTACCTGTAATCTTCTCGACCGTCTTCAGGATGTCCTGCTGGCTCGTTTGAAAGCTGTTGACCCAGACGTACTGGTTCCGCGTAAGATCCGCCTTCTCGAGGACCTTGATGAGCGCGAGACCAACCTGATGGAGGTTTGTCGCTGAAAACACAGCCTTGCCCTCGTCAAACAGAGTTGCGGTTTTGGTGGATCCATTGAAGCCCAAGAAGCCCACTTGCAGTCCCCAATCGAGAAAGGCCCCGTTGCTGACACTGGTCCAGCTGATTTGGCCCTCCTTGCTCCTCAGATAGTTGACCGCGGCCACCTTGGCCTCGAATACGGGCACAATATCGCGTGCACGTTTATCAGTCGTATTGCCGCCAAATTCCGAGGGAAGGAAGCGTTGCACGCCTGCCGCTATCGCCGCATCGATGAGCTTGTTCTGGTCTCCGAGCGCGACGCCTGCTACAAGCGATATAACGGCATCTTGGCCCTGGAAAGCCCCCTTCAAACTCGAGACGGAATCGTAATCTGCGTGCACTACTTTGACGCCGGATGGGAAGGTGGAGCTTGAGCCGTTGCGAGAGAGCACAGTGGTGGTGAAGGAAGAGTCTGCGAGAAAGGCTTTTAGCACGGCTGGGCCTAGGTTGCCGCCGGCCTGGATGCGTTAGTAACGGTACGGTGCTCTCGATAGACAATTGAAGAGTGCAGTGAACGTCGTTGTATGCTATGCAACGCTTCAAACCGTCTCCTGGAGACTTACACCAATGATCATGACGTTCTTGATGGACATGTTGTACACGAGTATAAGCAAAAGACGCAAGAAATATCAAAACAATCAGATTCCAATATTATATAAACTCACGACACACACCCGGAGCTTTATACAACACCAGCTATCTCTAGCTACCTACCACATCATCTCATCTCGCTCATGTAACCCATCATGCTTTTGTCCCGCAGTATAACGCGGAAATCCACCGAGTCTGTGTGACTAATCTCATCCATTCCCAGACCCGGCAGATACACAGTTTGACCCTCAACATCATGCACTTTAACGACAGGCCAAGCCACTGCCTCCAGCCTTTCCTACCTCCAGTCTGCCCACGCTACCGGAATCCGTCTAGCTTCATCCCTAACCATAGGGTACACTAGGCTGTTCTCCCGGTAAGTTAACATCATACTCTGGACTTTTTGGGTTGGGGATTAGTCAGGAGCTTCGGTTGGGTTCCGCGATAGTTGGTAATGCATATGGTGAAGTGGTAGGTATTTCAACATTTGGAGGGGGGGTTGCGTGATTCGGCAGTTTGGGAGAGTTGAATGGAGCACGTGATGATTGAATTCACGTGATGGTCAGGGTGCACGTGACGCCTATACAAACCAGACATGGACCAGACTAGAGTACTGGTGCATGTGACTAATATGCCACACGTGACTCTCATTTCCACATAAAGCACGTGATCCCTACGAATAGCACGTGACTCTCGCGGATCACGTCACTCTGAAACCCCTTGAGCAGGTGCCAAAAGTCTCCATGCTGGTCGGTCAAGACAACCCCGAGAACTTCCCCCCCCCCCTTCGGACCGTAACAATGTCGTATTGCTCATTTCGCCGCAAAATACTACAGAATACTTACACCATACAGAGGGCAAGTTCGTCCGGCTGCATGCTTGCTACCAACTATCATGGCCAAACCATGAACTTATCGTACCGAAGTCTACCGGGCCAATGCTGCATGCCTACCTAACTAATCCAGACTTTAGCTTTCAGAACACGAGTGCTTCTCGCCTGTACCGTGATGGGAAACGGAAACCAGCAGGCGTGCAACCCAACGGTCCCCCTCTTCACATGTTACAAGTCGTTGATCCTTCTTTTAGGGAAACGATTTCTACCCTCTCCCCTCCTCACTACTGTTGTTTCTGCATCATCCATAGCACCTACCATCCGGTGGTGACGGCGTTACCACCATTGGCGATTCCCCCCATCCCGGGTTGACCGGGATACGTCCCAGTGGGGCCTAGGTAGGGTAGATATAGCCACCTGCGGGCTCTTCTCCCATGATCTTTCTCGATCAATACTTTCTCATCACATCAACTACCATCTCACCGTTCTCCATAATAACTGTCTGTGCGTTCCCAGATCTGCCCTGCTTATTGGCTGTTCGCTCCGGTGGATGCTTCCAACTTCTCCTAATCGACACTCCGTCCCTTGCATGCTCCTCCACACCTCCGCATCTTGGCTTGGACCTTCCCCATACGTTCCCATATTTATATACTAACCTCTTCTCTTCCATGTTTAGTTCAATTGCAGATTGCATATAGCGCGACAGGCACGAGAATGGATGCCTTGTACGCAGCTCATTCGGGCGCATACATGGTTTGTAGCGTCCTAGGATCGCGAAATTGATGGGCCCTTGCAGGGCTTGGATGCCTCTCGTCCACGATGAGATAATACGAAGTCGTCCTTGCCCTGGTGAAGACTTGATCGCCCCTGCAGGTAATGTTGCCAAGAGACATGGATTAAATAAGTGCGCAGACTAGGTATCCTATCTCATCCTTCGCCTGGCTTTGATCATATAAGATCGGCCATAGACGTGAGCACAACAACAGATTCCTGGATCTCATTCTGTCGTCTCTGCCTCCCTCCTCCCAACGGTTATTCACCTATTGCAAGTGCGTCTATCTAAATATGAGATCCAAGCGGGCGCTTCCGTTGGCATTCTCTCTGTGGAGCAGCATTGCCTTGGTGTCAGCGATCGACTTCTACGTCTCACCATCGGGTTCGGATAGCAACGATGGCAGCTCGGGAAGACCTTTCCAGGCCCTTCCTAAGGCGCAGCAAGCGGTGCGCGAAGCCATATCGTCTTCGTTGACGGAGGATGTCACCGTTCACCTTGCGGACGGCATCTACACTCTTTCTGAACCGCTCATTCTCACCGCCGCCGACTCGGGAAACAACGGTCACTCAGTCAATTGGAAGGCTGATTCGACGGGTGCGACCATATCTGGGGGGCTAAAACTTACCAACTGGACCGCTGGCTCTGACGGCATTTACTCGGCCCCAGTACCGCCTGGCACTAAATCTCGCAACCTCTATGTCAATGGACAAGCGGTCAACTATGCGCGCAGAAAAATCACCCGCAACGACTTTACGTACGATAATGAAGGAATGTCTTGGAATAACACTGCCTATGATTACCTCATGTCCATCAGGGGAATTGGAAATGCTGAAGTTCGCTTTCTGAATTCCTTCACGGACCGCTATGCACCAATTGAATCTGCGAGTAATCAGAAATTGATGATGAAGCAAAACTCTTGGGCTAACAACATCATTGGCTATGATACTGTCCAATCCCCGTTTGCTGAATTTGGAGTCTGGGTACAAAACTCGTACGATCTTTTCACTGATGGTGGTCAATTTTTCTTGGACACAGACGCCAATATTATTTATTACAAGCCACAGAATGGCGAGGATATGTCTCAAATAGATGCTCATTTGGGTATACTTGAGGTCCTGCTCGCTGTTGGAGGCACATACGATGCACCTGCCCATCACATATTCTTCGAAAATATCAATTTCGTAAGTTCATTCGGCATCTTGCTCATTGTAGCTTTGAATGCTCGGCTAATTTCTTCTAGGCTCACTCGACCTGGTTAAGGCCAGGGGAAGGCTTTGGTTACGTGGACCAGCAAACTGGAGGTTACATCCCAGGAAACATCACTTACCCTGAGTTCGAGGCAAGCAGACAAGTTTGGTTCCAGATGCCAAGTGCTATTCAAGTTAGCGCCGCGAATCACATTGGCTTCTCCGGTGGCAGATACACGCAGCTTGGGGCTGGGGGTCTTGGTATTGGCAACGACGCAAACGCCCATCAGACTGGTGTTGGTCTGGGGGCCGACCGCATATCAATCACCGGCGGCTATTTCACACAGGTCATGGGCAACTCAATCACTGCTGGTGGAAACCGGCCAGACGCGCATCATCCCAGCGATGCCCGCATGCTCAACGCTCATATTTCGGTCCAGGACAATATCTTCTACAACACTTCCAGCCTCTTCACCTCCACCGTTCCCATCTTCTTCACGTACGTACAAAATTCGGACATTACACACAACGACATTTCCTTTATCCCCTACTCAGGTATCTGCCTTGGCTACGGTTGGGGCATGCAAGATGCTGGAGGCAGTCAATTCTACGTAAACCGCGGAACATACAAGTATTTTGAGCCATACACTACGCCAACCACGTCCCTGAACAATTCCATTCATGCGAATCTGATCCACGGTTATGGATATTCGAAAACTGACCTTGCTGGTATCTACACGCTTTCCAAGAGCGCTTTTACCACTATAACGGAGAACTACGCGTACGATTCTTTGCACTACGGCCTATACACGGATGAAGGTAGCAATTCTTATACGATTACTGGGAATAACTTCCTGCCGGAGGGAAATTGGTACAACCCAAATCAGGGCGCAGGCATGCAAACTGCCAACAACACACTCATAGACAATTTTGGAGCTCGTGGTCGAGACTTTCTCAACAGTCCAAACGGAAGCGGCATATGGGGAAACACGTTTCTTCGCAACTACATTGTGCCCAATTTATCCCGCGCCAACATCGCCGCCGCAAGAATCGCATATCGCTCTGGTATCGAGCCATCGAAGCGTGCCGGCCGATCAATAAGCCACAGCGTATCTCTGGCTGATGGTGCGTTGAGCCTCGAATTTCTGACGGGCAATGGAGACGTCGTCCTCAACCTTTTCAACTTTGATGATGCCGAATTCACCGGAGTGCAAATTTCAGTGGGCTCAGAGTTCACGGCTGAAAACGTTCCTACCGCTGTTCCGGCAAACGGCGTTGCGTCTGCCACGTACAAGCTTGCGGGTTCATCATGCACTCCGCCAAGATTCAGCGCGACCGTTAGATATACGAATTCGCGGACAGGAGCCGCAGGTAGCCTCGAGGTATCGGGCACTATGCCTGGCTCGTCGCCAACGCTCAACTCTACTTATGTCGCGTCTTCGACGTGGCCCGCCACTTTTGGCCAGAGTTGCGACGTGATCGGCATTCGAACAGCCGGTAGGGACGCCTTCGACCCCTATGATGAGTGGGCGGCTGTGTACAGACCAGCCTCCATAACAGGAGACGGAAGCATCACCGCCAGGGTATTGTCCGTAGACATTGTTGACCCCTGGACCAAAGCCGGAATCGTCATGCGCAACAACCTCACTGCCAACAACGGCCAGCCGTCAACAGCAGCAGGGTACGCCGCTGTATTCCTAACAGGAAGCAACGGTGTTTCCTTCCAGTGGGATGCCAATGGCAACGGCCAGCTTGACGGTTGGTCCGTTGTTGCCGATATTGTTGCGCCCGTATGTCTGCGCTTGAACGTCACGGGCCAGTCGTTCTCGGGATACTATGCGAACGACTGCACCAACTGGCGACAGATTGGCTCAGCTGCAACCGCGAGCGGCAGAGGCTCGTCATCCGATGCTGGACTTTTGGTGAGCTCGCATGCCAGCTTTGTGAATGCCACAGCGCTGTTTTCGTTTGAAGTGTAAGGCGAGCAGGCGAGCTTGTAGGTAGAAATGGATTTCGCCGTTGTAAATAGTAAACGCTGCAAGGCATTTAGATGTTGAATCTGAGTCTACGACCATGAAAAAGACGACGCGCTATGCATCTTAGTCCCAGCACGCCATCCCACCACACCAGAGTATTCATACATACACCATCCCATCTCCCAAGAGCCCTTCCTCATCGCCCCATACTAACTACCCCCTCTCTCACTCTCCCAACGTGACCCTCTTCTCCACAATCCCCCACCTCTCCAAATCCACCAGCAACTCCAACGGCTCCTCACACTTCCACGCACTAACCTCCCACTCCTCGCGCCCCCCAACCCCCCCACGCTCATACACCCCAGGCACCCTCTCCACCGTCCACACCACCCGCCGATGCCGCGCATTTAACCGCCGCACATATGCCCTCAACTCCGGCTGGCACGCCTCGTCCGTCCTCCGTTGCCACACCTTATCCAGCGCGTGCCGCAGGGGCCCCACGAACGGGCACTTGCTGCGGCCCTGCAGCGTCTCATGCAGACTGTGAATGTCGCGCAGGATGCTCTGGTAGAGCGGGCGGGTTAGGCCCAGGCTTTGCATCTCCGGGGTATGGGGTGGGTAGATGGGGTGGCGGAAGGCGAAGCGGACGAGTCTGAGCCGGGAGCTGGTTTCGGTGGCTTTGCGGCATTCGAGGGTGCGGTTGTGTTCGTAGCGCGCGCGGTTTACGGTGGTGTTTGATTTTTCGCTGCGGTGGGGGTGGTTTCGTACGGGGTTGTTGTCTTTGCCATTTGAGGTGCGGTCTGTTTTTCTTAGGAGGGAGGGTTTTCGTACGGCGGTGTCGAGGTAGTCGAGGCGCTTGGTGGTGAAGAGGTTGCCTGCCGTCTCGGTCAGGTATGCTTGATAGCTAGTGCTGGATTGTGTGCCGGAGTCTATGTTTGCACGCATCCAGGCGCGGAAATAGGGGTCTGTGCCGTATCTTTCTAGGTTGGCGTGCATGGTTTCGCGCATGCGCGAGGGGATGGCGTTGGGCCAGAGAGGGTAGGGTTGGGACTGGTCGCGGGATTGAGAACGGTTGAATGGTCTCCTTGGGGAAGGATACGCGTCGGCGACTTGTTCACTGTCTGCTCTCGGTTCTGGTTCTGCCGTAGGTCGTGGGCGTGCACATGGTTGTTCAGATGGCAAGGGCGGAGGGGGACGCATAAAGGACAGTCGCTGGCCCACACGCCAACTACTCCTCACGGAGAAAGTTCGAGAAGTTCGAAGGGTAGATTGGCTCTCCTTGAGCTGTTTAGGAGTCACATGGAGGATCTGTACGTGTGCCTCTGATATGCGAGATGGGGCGAAGAGCGAGTAAGAGCTGACGCAGATAACCACTGGAACACCTCTTTCCTGTAGGGCAAAGGTAACCTCCTCCAGCAGCTGATTGAGAGAATCAGCCTGGTTTCTGTCCCTTCCGAAATGCTCGGTAACGTCGAAGAAACTCTCATACGCGACTGACCGCTTTTCAGTCTTCTCAGTCTGCTTAGGCTTCATCCCGGCCGCTGGCATGGATGCCGAGCTCAAGGACGCATTGCCACTATCTCTCCTCGGATCCTCGGTTGATGAATTTTGCAAGAAATTTGCCAGGAGCTCAATCAGGCGATTATAATCCGCAAAAGTAACGCCGTGGTCTGCCAGTGGCGTACTGTACTCAATGGGCTCGCATAGTCGGAAAGTAGACACATGATGTGGCCGAGACTGAGGACACTGGGCTCGATCGCTGACCCCGGGGAATATCATCCCAATGTCATCGACGAATCGCTTCTCTGGCTCCTCAACAGGGAGCTGGAAGTCGGCTGGTCGGACGGCAGGTTTACTGCTCGCCTGGGACCTCAGGCGGCTCATGAGTTTCGGTCGGCGTCGCTCTTTGGCACCGTTGAAGTCTGCGTAATCGTGCACGGTGTATGTGCTATGTAATGTAGTGGTTGATGTGAGGGCGCGTCGTGGTGATAATGCATGTAATGCTGTCACCGGTAGGGAGTCTTCGCTGCCACAGCTTTCATCAACGCTTTCCGTTCTAGTACCTGCAACCTCTCTGGTAAAATCAATCCTTTTTCCCTTGGATTTTTTCTCGGAGCCTGATCCAATGCAAGCATCTCCTGTCTCGGTCGATTCAGGTTGAGAGTCCACGGGTGCAAGATCATGTTCGCTCGTTTCCTTTGAGGACATGGACAACCTCAAGTCCTCCTTCTCTTCGACCCCGTCAACCTTCTCTCCGGCGACTGAGTCGACGTGCAGAGTCATATCTTCAAAAGTGCAATGATACATGCTCTTCCCGTCTCTTAATTAGTACCCGAAGCATGGAGTCAGAGGTGTTCGCGTATAAAAATTTGAAGTCTGTTTAACTTTGTTATGCGCACGTGCGTTGGTGGTGGTGGGGGCATTCAGTTTACGTTTGCAGGGGTCTACCAGATATGGCAGCAGTGAAACCGTTTTCTTCTATCGGCGAGCTCCTCCTTCACCTTCGCAGCTCAGGTCATTGTTAAGTGGCTGCGACGTAACTCCATCAAGGCGTACTCCCTAACGTCACGTTATCGTGAACAAAGGGCTACCGGTACCGGTACCTAAGCAAGGGGGCGAGCCGCGCCCCACGTGTCCAACAAGACCTCGAAGCAGTCAAAACCTGCCAACCGCGGTGGGAATTCTCCTTGCCGACAGCAATATTGAGGTGAAATAATGATATTTTCACGATTCCCAACTTGCTTTTTAGTTTCCGGGTTTGCAAGTGCATTGTCTCTTAATCGTCTTAGGGATCTATGGGGTAAGGCGAGGTCTAGATCTCATTTGGCGCAGTTGAACGTGGAGAAACAAAGCGAAAACTTTAGGATCTATATCTATCGGCGAGGTTCATTACATCAGATCTTAGCCCGTGGACATGCTATCCTTGTTGTATCGCGACCGAGGGTCGGAAAGTTCCACGATTGGTACAGCAGGGTGAACAAAACTAACAATGCGTAGGTACACATGGTGGTCACGAGCTGTGGACAAACGTCAGGTGGAATTAAACGTCTTAAGTGCATGAATAATGAAAGTCCGTAGGAAGCTTTATGGAGACAGTCAAGGCACTTCACGATATAGTCTAGACCACAATGAGCACATGTCAGTCCTTCATGAGATTTCGTGTGTAGTCCATTATTTAGAGATCGTCACTGATAAGTACGCATGTTTCAGAAGGGCTGAATGTTCTTCCAAGCAACTGGTTAATATCACGAGCTGGAAAGGAACGGAGCAAATTATTTCATTCACTGTGCGATTGCTATCAGGGTACCATGTGGTGTTCTCAACTGAGCAGGCTCGTGAGCTGGGAAGACTGCACAATGTGATCAGCTCCCACAGTCTTGCCGCAGCTCTGACCATTGTTGTGAACAAGTCCTTAGACCGTTCACAGTTATACCTCTCCTTTTACTAAATTGTTGCCATACAGTGCTTCAACCGACTATGCGTACAACAGAGCTCCATATAAGGTTGATAAAATTCCATCACTGACTGACAGTAGTATCATACCACAAGATTCCATTTACAAGGCCACAAATCAAAAACACCAAAAAACGGCATTTCATCCTCAACCATGGACGACGAAACTTTCAAAATCCTCTATCAGGAATGTCGTAACCAAGGTTACACTCATTCGGAAGCCGTTACACGGTGCAAAGACTTTGAAGTTCGCTATTTGTCACAACGTCGCGATCCGTATGATTTCGCTGATATGACAGATTCACTTCCTCGTGGTGGTCGTGGTGATGAATTCGGTGTAAATGATCATGAGCACCACCATGCTGCATACCAGACAACTGAGCGACGACCAACCCAGGACAACTTCGTACGAGGCTATCGTGCTACATTTGAGTATAAATACACGGATCGCGTATACCAAGACAATGAGTCTACGTACCGCCCAAAAAACAAGTATTATGATGAAGAACCTCAAGCCCCCAAGCCACCACGACGGCAATACTACACCGAGGAGCGTAGACCGCACCGCGAAACTTCATACGAAGTACACGAGTCCAACGTGTTTCAAAGCGATGAAACTCGTCCAAAACGCACCCACGGCGCCCATGATTACAACACATATACTGCCACTCCCCCGCCCCGTCCCACTCGAACTCATACAAATAGCACGCGCTACAACACTACTGAACGTGCGCCTCGAGTTCCTCGTGATACTCCAAAGGACAACTCCTACTACTACCCCTCTGGTCGTCCCTCACCTCCTCCGCGCCCGCACCCCACCTCCTACTCCTACTCTTCCCGCGCACCCCCTTCTCAACCTCCTCAGGGCACAAAGCCACAAACTGATCTCTACACAACTCTCGGTATCCCGCGCTCCGCAACCGCAGATGAGATCAAAAAAGCCCATCGCAAGCTGTGTATGAAGTGGCATCCTGACCGTTGCACAGAGGCGAAAAAGGATGTTGCAACGCAGATGATGGCAGAGATTAATCAGGCGAATGATGTATTGGGTGATGAGAAGCTGCGGGCGCTGTATGATGCTACTGGATGTTTGCCGGGTGTTTTGGATTAGGAGGGGAATAGAGGATGGGAAAATGTTAAATAACAGCTAGAGAGTATCGTGTGGTGGGGTATGGCATTTAGGTTTTACGTGAGGTTCAATCAGATTGACGACTTGTGAAAAACGGTGATTTTTCATTCTCTAGAGTACCAAATGTTTCATATTGAATGTGATCTGTGACGTCCAGATGCAGTATCCGAAGGCATCAGGTGTCTACGCACCGGCTCGGGCGGTGAAGTCTCGCTCATCTCTGCCGTGCCAGCGTTTATTGAGCGCGCACAAGATTCGCGCTTATTGTATCTTTCTGAGTTTGAATAAATCGGTCCGCTTTTCTGCTTTGTGATACCAATTTCCATGTTGTTCAAAGCATGATCAGGAGAAAGTCCATAAGCCGGGAGATACGGCAATGTCCACTTCCCGATTTTGTTCGAATTGAAATTGTTTGAAAGTGGTCTTCCAAGGCGTACTAAATGAGCTGTTACTTCTGGGAATGTTCCTCACGCAAGACTGTTAAGGGGGGTGGGTGCTAACCTGCGTTTTCCCTCATGGCCAATAATTCAAGATCGGTTGCGGCTATGACCTTCTCAAATTTCTGATTGATTGCTCTCGTAACATTGTTGCACGCAACATGGTGACGAGGATCAAATGTAGCCGTGAAATTTTGCGTTTCCGATGGCCATTGGGAGGGATCATGGCCCTGAGCTATGCTTTGTAAGACAGTGAGGGTTTCTTTGACCGACATTCTGCACATAGCCGAGCCTATTTTACTATGTGTCGGAATCCCATACCTGGTCATGGAGGCTCGGATTCGTTTGCCTATGAGATGTGTACACATGAACTGATCCTCGTCTGGTAGTATGACTACTCGACAGAACAATTTGACCTGAAGATCCTCAAGTAACTTGTGAAACTTGGCCAAGAGTTCGTTCATGAGATCATTTCGAACACTTTTAATACGGACTGTATAGTGTTAATATACTCTTTTACTAAACGATCAGACTTCTCCAGAGATCTCGTTCGTTCGGCAAAGGTGGAAATCTTGGGGAGTGGAACGTGTGCAGACCGCAAGCACTCACTCAAGGGTACCGTAATATTTCTTCTGTGCATGGTGAAATCTGGTGTGGGGTGCATGATTTGATCTCCCAAACCTAAGCGACAATTCCACGCCATGTAGCTAACAATTAAGAGTTAGTGTTCTGTCAGAATTCGATGTGCCAGCTAAAGATTGGAAACTTACTCTGAGAGCAGGACATAGTCGTCTTCCAATCCAAATTGAGTCGCCACGTATAGCCAACTCTCGTATTCTCGAGGAAGAACTACCGTTTGCTGGTTTGCACTAGACCCATGTATCATCAATTGACGATGTGGCTTAAGCCATCTTTTCCACCAAGGCGCTATGTAGGCGTGGCACTGAAATTGCTCCATGAGTCTGGCTAAGGCCACGATTTGACGGAGAAGTAATACTTTGGGCAGGCTTTCGTGCATGCGATGAACAAGTTTCAACAGAATTTTGACAGCTCCGACGGTATGATCCGGCAACGGAAGGGCTTCTCCTCGAGGATGGCATGCTACAAAGTCATTCTACGGCTTACTGATGCCTGCGAGTTTCGAAGATGAGACTAGTACCCGTACTCTCGAGGATTGTTGGGTCTGGGTGCTAACGAGGAGCTCAACGACATCGCCTCGATCGGCTGTCATATGCCCGTGAACGAAAGAGTAAGTTTGGATATGCGTTTCGTGCGCTGGCATTCTGGCGTGGGTCATGTTTCTGAATGAGGGTGTGAGGTAACGATGCTGGGCTGAAGATGGATTTCAGCATACAAGGACAACTGGAAAAGGTGGTACTGCTGAACAGCATGACCTAGGCTAGCGAAATAGAGTGGGTAATCAGTGTCCAAGGGAGTTGACATGGCAGGAGTGGAAGCGTGACTGCCTAATCTTGGCGTGTAGAAGCGACATGAAGAAGTGGCGGGGAAAGCTTTAGGCATGAACAACAGAAATATGCAATATCTACAGGAACAAAACTATGTCGTGGTATACTACTCTTCGCACCCGGTCATATACTCGACGTGGAAGATGTAATGGCCAGCGGTCCCTCAGCTTAGGCACCAGGCACTGGCCGTAGATGTCCGTCCTTGTCGTACTTGGCCTTGAAAAATGTATAATTCAACGTAATCGTCACAATGCCCTTCATGTTTATATCCGACGCAAACTCTGGATCAATGTAGAAGAAAACTGGCATGTCTACCGTTTCGCCCGCATTCAATCTTTGTTCTTCGAAACAAAAACACTGAATCTTGCTGAAGTAGGGCGCCACCTGCCCGGGTGTCACCGAGTATGTCGCCACACCGATGATATCTTCATCTGATTTATTTGTGGCTGTGTAGAAAGCCAAAGCGGTCTCGCCAGGAAGGACTCTTACTTCGCGCTGTTGCGGCACAAACTTCCACGGTAGGACGTCAGAAACGGAGCCATTGAAGGTGATACGCAGGCGAGGGTGATGCTCGACAGGCTTGAGTCGCTCGGAAGGGTCGCGAGAGGTGTCGCCGCCGTGGGCTGCAGATTTGACAGGCTGGCCGCCCCAGCCTATCTCTTGACATATCTAGATAACTCCAGTCAACTCCCCATGCTGATTTCGGGATTCTTCGAAGCAGTCATACCATTTTGTAAAATGGTACAGATCCATAAGATAAAGCCCCAAAAACCAATATGACGCTGAAGACGTAGTTCCTTGAAGGTCAGCTTTGTTGCCTATGTAGTAATTCCCATGTGTCGTACATAACAGTCCTGTTCTTGGTCTTATACTGCGCGTGTATCTGGTCCATTCTGGGCACGACAACTTGCCGCGCCTCTTGCGTAGTGTTCAGATATCTCCGTGCGGTGAATGTTGGGTTACGGGCGCGTGACATCTGGATGGGCAAGCGAGTACACGCAGCGCAGGTCCATGACCCAAAAGCGCGCGCCCCATAGGGTCGTAACGGCGCCGCGAAAGACATTGTGTGCTGTTTTGTGGTGGAGGAAAGTAGTGAAGTGGAGTGATGACCAATGGTAGTCTTGGCCGGGCACTCGCGGATATTAACCGCTTTGGGACTCAAAGTCCAATTAGTGTGAAGAAGCTAGAGCCAAAAGATTCTGGACGTCATCTTTGAGACTTCCACAAATACATGAACCCCCGTGGAACAAGAACAATTCTGAAGTACTCATTACCCACACTTTCGCTTACACATCTTCGTATATCAAAATGTCAGATGTCTTATGCGGTATCTGCAATCTCGAGCCCAAGAAATATACATGCCCAACATGCGCCATGCCATAGTACGTAGCGTATACGATACATTATCATGCTGCACTAACATTGTGCACAAGCTGCTCGCTAGCATGCTTCAAACCTCATAAGCTCGCCCACCCCGTCAGCGACGAACCAACTCAGCCCAAAATATACGTCCCCTCTCTACCCCAACCACCACCGCCTGCGCCAACACCACGCTACCTCAAGCCTCAAACCGACTTCTCGGCCCTGGTCACCAATCCTAAGTTTCAAGACCTTCTCAAGTCTCACCCCACACTCCTCACCACCCTCCAACGCATCTACGCCAAAACGATTGAGCCTGATCCTGACGACGAAGTGCGACCGTTTCGACAGTCGTTCAGAGGTAGAGGTAGTAGGGGGAGAGGAAGAGGCGGCCGATGGGGTGGACATAACGACCGTCCAGCAAAGTGGACCCCAAAGAAGGGTGATGCGGATGCAATGGGGTTGATGAAAGGGATACGGGAGGGCAAGGGAAGGGACAAAGAAAAGGAGGGCTTGGCAGATTTCTTGCTGCTGGTCGAGGACATGTTTGGGGAGGGGGACAAGATGGACGAGGGGGCCTGATATATGGTATACGCTGCGGAATCTGGACAGCGGAAACGTGTTATGGTGCAGCCAGTTTTCATGTCCTGGGCACAGAAACAGACGAGGCTGCCGTGAAGTCACAACGTTCACCGAAGAACGCAGAGTCAAAGATTATGCACTCGAATGCGGCTATATACCACCTTAGAGTGCGGAAAACAAGCACAGTGGCTCAACAAGATTGGAAGACGCTAAAGAAGATTCATGAACAGTCACTACACACTATCAGAAATCACAACGATACCAGCTTGTTTACGCATAGACATAGCAAAACGGCCCGGACAGCGTGTTCAAAGCATCAGCAATCGTTATATTCGGTACACCGACATGTCCCATATACAGCACATCGTCCAGCGTAGCGTTACGACTTGGCGGGTCATTTAAAGACGTAATCGTACCCGCAAGCGCATTTTGCCTGCGTTCAAGATCCAGATGTTGCCATGTTGTCCAAACTCGATCGATCATGCCATGGTGGAAGTAAAACGCCGGATCGGCGGGCGAGTTGAACATGTCTGATCCGGCGTCGCCACCAATTGTCCAATGGCCGCCTGTGTGCACACCCATGGAGCCTGGGAGGAAATTCTGCATTGTGTTTTGGAAGCTGAGAATGTCTTTGTTGGTTTTGATGAGAGAGACTACGTATTCGTCTTTTGTTTCGTTTACGCCTTGGGGGCTGATGTCACGGCTGAGGCAGCGCGGGTTATAACCGAGCCCGTCTGCCTGGGGATTTGGTGGAGCACCTTGTGCGAAGGTCTGGAAAGGACCAAGGTGGATAGTCCAACTACACGGATTTGTTAACAGAGCCCGGTTAGGACAGGGAAACAGATTTAGCTTACTCCTTGAATGGGCCAGATGTAACACATCCGCCACCATTGGCAGGCTTGAAGAGTAGGAGACAGCGAGTTTCGCTCGGTAGACAAATTGTGTATCGTCCAGGAACGTAAGCACCATCGCCCGAGATACTAGTCGCACTTCCGTCGAACAAAGGCGACTTGAGAGGATCGTCTGTCCATTTTGACCAGTTGTTGTACGGCAAATAACCTTTGTACCCACACTCATCCCGAAGTGTTTGTTCGTAAGCCCAAATGTAATATCTGTGCCACGCAAGGAAGTTACCCTAACGACTCGTCAGTTTGCTGTACTCCGTCTACGCGCAGATTAGCATACCGTGCCATGTATCGTCATGGTTTGTAGTATGTGCGTGACAACGAAATCGTCATATCTGGATCTCGCCCCCGCAGCAATAGCTGCTGGTGTCCTTGCTGGCCTCTTCGCCAGACATTTGACTGCGTCTATGTAATTTAGCTTTTGGCTCACGGATAACATCGACCTAGACGTGTAAGCAAAAGTTTGAATCGACATGAAGGGCTACACACCACTCTCGTCGTACAGCTGCAGTCTCGAGTGTGCATTTCTTGGGGTCGGTGTAGCCATATGTCGCGATGTGAAGTGTCAGTGCGACGAGACCTTTTGCTGATAGGACATCATTTTCAGTATATGTGGCGCTGGCGGTGCCCAGCAGTGCGAAACAGGTAAGTTTCGCAATCCTCATAACGATATATTCCTTTCTGAGAAGATCTGAATTACGGGCATGACTTCGTACTGTTTGGAGAAATCGAAAACTTTGACATGGGACATATTATATATTGACAGGGTTCTAAAGCCAGCACACATTACCGGTGAGGGGCATCAGAAAGGCAGGTGTACAGACTGTGGGGTGTCTGCAATGGAGCTTCCAGACTCAGGCAAATCTTACCTCTATTGGACTAGGAAACGAGGAGGAACAGATGCTCGGTTAGGTACCGGCCGGGATCCTCTGAACACAGATGGGCAAGAATAAGGATGGTATGGAAGGCCACCATGCCATCATATGCGTAAGTCTGGCTAAAGGTGACACCAATTTACTACGCCGCAGGTAGAGCGGGGTAAGCAATGCTGATGCAGATAGCTGTACATGAAGGATTCAAACTATTTGTAGATAGGGGTGCCGACAGTCTCGATTCACATACAAATTCGAGCTCTCTAGAGAGTGGCATGGAAATCTGGATAGACGTTGGCTGGAAAGTATATTCGCCGATAATCTGTTGTCATGGTAGGTCCAATTCATTAGAAGGCATTGCGACTGTACAAACATGAAAGAAGGAAGGCTGGCCAAGCGCGACGTGCCACAGAATTAGGTGTGATCAACATGCGCTTGTCCACTTTCCGATTCCTTCACCAGACCGCAATTATTCAATTGATCCGCCACTCGAATCAGTCTCTCAGGATAACTCTCCCGTTGGCAGAAATATGTAGATGCGTGGGTGGCGTCAGCCACTACGATCCTATGGAAAGGGTTGCCCTTGCTTTGACGTCAACCTTGTTCATCTATGCATATACGGCGGTTTTCATTTGGCCTTCTACTAGGATACAGCATGCCGCACACAATAGCGGTATGAAAATTTCTTGACTCGTAGAATTCAAAACATGGACTCAGGACTACAGCGCAGGTGTTTTGTATGCGAGTAGACCGTGAAATTAGTGTCGAAGATAAACCGTTCATGAGCTCATGAGCTCATGAGAATGAAGAGGACTCCATTCTGCTGGTAGAAGTTGTGTATCCTTTGCTGAAAGAGGATGAAGTCACAGAGATTCAAATAGGAAATATCTCTTGGCTCCGCTTCATGTTCTCGAGGGACCACGCCGCAGCACGTTGGCAGTGGTACGTCAGACTCCAAACGCAGATAGAAAGAAGACCCGGAGCATAATTTTTGCTTCATCATGTTACTGTTCGAATCCGCATCCATCTCCAACATATCCCCATGAGTGCTTCTTCGGTCTCAACAGTTCCAACACCTGAGCAATTGGCTACGAACAATGCGTTTACACTGATAGCCCAGAACAGCACACTATTTGGCGTGACTGTCGTTATTGTCTCAATACGCTGCTATACTCGGGGGGTCGTTCTCAAATCATTCGGAAAAGACGACTGGACTATTCTTGTTTCACTGGTATGTCTAGTGGTGCAATAACTAGTGAAGACGCTTATTGACCTTTGTAGCTCTTAGCCACTGTAACGCTCATTTGTTATGCCGCACAAGTTCCTGTAGGGCTTGGAAGGCCCATATCTGTTATCCGACTCGATCAGGACGGATATAGAACCCTGCTGAAGTTTCGCATGATACACATGACTTTCATCACCGCTGGTGTGACGGTTGTGAAAATTTCGGTCAGCTTCACACTTCTAAGACTGGCGGTGACGGAACGTCATCGCTGGTTCTTGTACAGTCTCATCCTGTTCTTGCTGGGTTTCCTTGTTCTATGTGCTGGAACTATTGGTATGTCTTATCACCCTTCGAATGTCGCTATACTGATTTCCAATTTAGTAAGCTGATCATGGTTTGGACTACTATAATTTGATCGTCTCAAACTTTGGCATAGCATGCACAAAAGATCAAAAGTTGGCGCGCAGCAAGGCAAGCACTAACCCGTTCTATCTAGGTTCTCCAATGTCTTCCGGTGGCCGCGACACGGGACTTGAGACTCCGGCCGCCACCCATCGGATCAGGTACTGCCATTTGTATGAGTATCAGTACGTTCAGCGACATAGCCATATTTAATGCGAGTAAGCAAGCAACTCAACGCTTCAGTACGTATCCCTAAAGCAACGCAGCCGTCACCATCGCAACCGACTTTTTACTCGCGCTTCTTCCCATACCCTTCATCTGGAAGCTGTCACTCAACCTACGAACAAAGCTCTTTCTTGCCATTGTTTTATCACTAGGTCTTTTGGCTTCGTTTGCCGGTATCATGAAGGCTACCAAGAGTCTGACCATCTTACTGGATCCGAATCGATTTGCATGATTCCTTTGCCAGGTGGAACTTTGCCGAGCTCTACATAGGTATCATTGCGGCCTCTCTGCCAGCACTGAAACCATTTTTCCAAAAAATCATTGACGCTATACACTTGACGAGAGCAAGCTATCCAGCAAGGGGTTCGCGTTATAGCTTTCGGGGCCCTGATTCAGTGGGCTATACAAGACAGGATGAAGAAAGGTCGGGAAAAAATTCTGACATTCCGTTGCGGCAAATCGAATGTTAACACGAACGTGAACGGGAATTGGCTTCTGAGGAGTCTATGCAACCGCATGACAGCGTGGAGAGAGGAAACTGAAACGCAAAGTTGCGACAGCATTGCGATACCATTGCAAGACCAGACCAGAATTATGGAGTCAACAATGATTCCTAAAGACTTAGGTCTTCCCTACGTCAACCATGATCAATGAAAACTTTCCTGTTCATATATAATACCGGTACTGGACGCTATCCCTGAAAATTATCTCTAAAATTGAACGTCCGCGACTCGATAAGCACAACTAACGCGCACTTCATGTTACCACGTATGGCTAATCCTTGTAGTGACTTTGGCTCAGAATTACCGTCTAAAAGAAAATTCTGACATCAGTATGTTGAGTGGAGATGGTTCAGCATGGACCGTACCGGTATACCTGTAGGGGCAGAACTGAGCTTCCGGACCATTGAACAGATGGTCCATGCGCAAAGGCTCACTTGCAGCACACCCACCTTCTTCGCATAACACCATTACCACGATCATTTTGGCATAGGAAGAATTTTCAAAGCACTACAACACGCGAAAGATTGATGTGTCAGTCATGGCGTGTCATTCCTACTTGGCCATATCATAGATGTCCCGCGGCTCGTCAGAACCCCCTGCCAATGAGGTCATCGATGGAACGATTCAAAATATCCCATTAACCCGCCATGACATAAACCATTGGGATATCAACTGAGAAACACCAAGAGAAAGGAAGAGTGCAAAACTCCCAACCAAGCTACGCACAATGCTCGCCCTCACAAGCGCAACCGGTAAACTCGGCAGCGCCGTCCTAGCCGCCATCCTCGAGAACAAGCTCATCGATCCCAAGGACCTTGTCGTCTGTGTATGATCCGATGCCCTCCCCATCCCCCTCCATCCTACCACTTCATCACCACCCACTAATCCAAAATCCAGACGTCTTCCAACCCAACGGACCCTCGTTTCCAAAATCCTCGCGACCAAAACATCACTATTCGCTATGGAAACTTCGACGAGCCGGATAGCCTAACAAGCGCCTACAGAGGCTGCACAGCGCTCTTTCTTGTCTCCACACCGCGTATAGAAATGGACTACAACGATGCTTCCTTGTGGAAAGGTCGCGAGGCACATCACCGCGCGGCCATTGATGCAGCACTCGCTGTGGGCGTGCAACACATCTACTATACCTCGCTTGGATTTGCGAATCCGTCGAAAGCCGGGGTCATGCGGGCGCACATGCGCACAGAGGCCTACCTGCACGAAATAGAAAAGGCGGGAAAAGTAAGGGTTACGGTGGTGAGGGAGGGGTTGTATAGTGAGAGTTGGCCGTTGTATTTTGGGTATTATTTTGGGTTGAAGGGGGAGACGAGGAGGGAAGTCGTGGTCGCGGGTGATGGGGGAGTTTCTTGGACGAGTATCGCCGACATGGCGTTTTGTACGGCCAAGGTACTGGCTGCACCTGGTGAAGCGTGGGCCGGTAAGACTTTCTATCTGAGTCAGAGGCGGACGTGGACTTTGGCCGATATTGCGCAGATTGTGGGCGAAGTTAGGGGCGAAGAGGTGCGGGTGAAGGTTGTGTCGAGGAAAGAGTTTGAGGAGTATTATGTGAGGACGAAGGGCATGGAGAGGCCTGCTGTGGAGTGGTGGAGTAGCACTTATGATGCACTTGAGGATGGGGAGTGTGCGATTGAGGACCCGACGTTGGAGACGATGTTGAAGGAGGCTGGACGGACGCCTAAAGCGCTGGAAGAGACGATTAAGGAGATGATGAGATGAAGAGGTAATTATTTTAATGGGTGTGTAAAGCCGTTAACACCAAACAAGATACTCCACTAAAGACCCATTTCCTTACACCATCCCGCCTTTTTTGAAAAGAAAAAAACAAATCCCATCCAACCCACATCACAAACCACAAACCTTGCCCTAAATCCTACTCCAATGACTGTCCATGGGAAATCTAGGCGGCATCACCAAGATCCCCCTCTTTACCTCCCCCTCCTGCACCTTCAACTCTGCAAGCTCACTCTTGCATTTCACCATTCCAGGACAAACTTTTCTTTCACTTCTCTGCTCCTTTAAACCCTCTCTCTCCTCCTTCGCTCCATCCTCCTCCTCCTTCACCTCATTCCCCTCCCTCATCACCCTCTCCCCTCCCTTTCCCCTTTCCCCACTACTATTCCCCTCCCCCTCCAACCCCACCGACCGCTGAACCTCCAAACCCCCAATCCGAGACATACCCCTATCTTCGACTTCCCTTCTCCCAGATCCACAACACCGTCGCAGCGCTATCTTCCACCTGCGTTCACAGGTATACAATATACTACACAAGCCAGTCCCACACTTCCAAGCGTAGTTAACGGCGCAGAGGCCGTAGGTAAAAGGGCGCTTGGTGTTGTAGTCAGCGTGTTTGGTTGTGGTTTATCTGCAGTGCTGTTGGTATCAGTCATGCAGATGTCCTGGGCAAGGGGTTGGAGTTCATTGACGTACATGCAGTGTGTGCGCAGGCTCTTGCAGGGGGTGTTTGCAAGGTTGCGAGATATTGAGGTGGGTGGGAGGTCGTTTGGTGCTGCTGCTGTTATTATTGTTGATGATGTTTTTTGGTGGTGGTGGTGGTGTGGTGTTGGTAGTATTGAGGAGATGGAAGAAGTTGGTACGGGGGTTTTATGTACTTGTGGCATGTACTTGCGGTACGATACTAGTGAGAATGAATATAAATCCTTTAAATATAATTCCCCTCGGAGTGGGTGGGTGGGCATGATAGTTTGGGTCGGCGACATACTAATGCGTACTTGGTACTTTGAAGTCTGGGAAGTCTGGTACATGGGGGCCGATGGTGTCTCAGCCTCACTATCGTTATTGGGACGAACCACACAAAATAAATTATAATATATTGCTTGATGGGGCGTATCACGACATATCGGGTTCAGAAAACTAACAAAAAATGGTGAGAGTTAGATGCATGCGTCATCAGTAAGGCACAGCAGAAGTCGTTGTTGTTAACTCGTAAAATCTCAACGTGTATATGAATATATGTACCTAATATGTAATCATACATTTTGAACAAATCTTATCCTCTGACGCTGCAAAATACCTCCTTAGACCCTGACCCTCGCCGCATTGTCATCGCGTTGTGACAAGACACCGAATCCAAAGTCTTTTCTCCGCTTATTCCCCTTGCGATCACCATACCGGTCGTCGAATTTCTTGATCGCGCTGAGACTAGACATGTCTTCAGAGATACTAGCGCTGATCTCTTGCAACGCCTTGTCAAAGTGGCGGGCATGCAGCGTGCGCTTTTCGGGAAAATTGTAGGATTGGCCACGAACGAGCTGGGGCGGGTTCGTGGGCGTGAGCGTGGGCGCGGGCGTGGTGGGCGTGAGGGCTGGAGTAGAGGAAGACGTGGTGGGCTCGGTATTGGCTTCTGATGGGAGCGACGATGAAGATGGTGATTCTGCAGCAGTGGGGATTTTTGCGGCAGCGAGGGCAGCTTGTTCGTTCTCTTCCTTGACGCAGGCTAACGCGGCAGACACGGCGACATTCTTGAGATCGCTGCCACTGTAGAACGGGGTGCGCTTGGCTAAGTCTTCCAGATCGACTGAATCATCTAGCTGCTCGCCGGCAAGATGAATCCGTAGAATTTCCTTTCTGTCCGCTTGGGTGGGTAGGTCAACCAGTAGTCGCCTGGGTAATCTGCGGATGACTGCGTCGTCGAGATCGAACGGCCGGTTGGTCGCTACCATGACGAACACGGTAAGATCGTTGAGTCCATCCCACTCCTTCAGAAATTGATTGAGGATATCGCGATGTGACGTTCGTTCGCGCATGGCATCTCTCGACGCGAAGACTGCATCAGCCTCGTCGAGGAACACGATGCAAGGAGAAAGCTTGCGCGCAAGCGAAAAGACTGCCGCAACGTTCTTCTCACCCTCACCGACATATTTGTCCATGATCTGGCTTCCCGAAACTTCTAAAACGGTACTACCGCTTTCCTTCGCGACCGCCTTGGCGAGTAAAGTCTTACCAGTCCCTGGGGGACCGTACAGTAGCGCACCGGATATCTTCTCAGTCGCAAGAATACCATAGCTAAAGGCCTCTGGCCGCAGCAGTGACAAAGAAGATATGGTTCGCAGGGATTCGACAGTTTCCTTGGGCACGTGGACTTGATCAAAGGTGGTCTTGATCTGATCGGGGTCTGCGATGCCTGGCATTAGGCGCTTCTCGTATTTCGAAGCAGTCGCAGCAATTTGTGCGAGATCACGTTGCCGTTTAATGCTTGCATCATCCAAATTCTTTCCTGCTTTGCCTCGCGCTCGAGCCATAATCATCTCCCTTGCCTCTGCAAGGGTTCGAGGTGTTGTTCTCTGTGCCTTTAAGGCATCAAGAAAAACGGCCTTGGAAACATCGCTGGCTTCAAGTAACGCAAGGGCCAGCGCAACATGAGCCCAGTTGAGTTGATGGATGGTATTTTCAGATGCGATTGCCCTTGCTCGATCTGTCACAAGGAGCCCCAGCGCCGTAAGTGCTATGCGATGCACTTCGTCATACGTCAAGATTCTTTGGAAATGAGATGAAGAGAGTATCGATGCCCATGCACGAAAGCTTCGGGGCCCATGATCCATGTCTGAGATGTTGGCGGCAGCTACAGGATCTAGAGAGCGGAGCATGTTTTGTATATGCAGCGCGTTGATGCGTTGACATTTGGTCTTCTCAGAGGTCAAAGGCAATGCAGGGGTTGAGTCGGCACCAGCGGCAGCCACAGATTCTTCGAGAGCAATAAAGCTATCAGCGGTGTCAGGCGTGACCACGATAGTCCGGAAAGGGCTACCTCCACCCTCACTTTGTACATCGCGAGCAGCACTTTTTTCTCTTGTCAGCTAATACTCTCAAGGTATAAGAGTTTATTACATACCCTCGGGAGAGTTCTGGCATCAGGTCGCGGGAACAAGTACTGCCAATGATCATGATTCTTTCACCAGCGACACGTCGTCTGCGCACAACCTCTTCTAACTTCTGCAGGATCCGGCCACCGTAATGTGTAGCATTCAGTTCCTTGAAGTCTCTGACATAAATCAACTTGGATTTGCCCGGTGCTTTGGGTGCCGCTGCGGCTGAGCCGGCTGTCAAAACAAAATTCACGTCGTCCTTTGCACTGGCCGACACTATCGAGTTGAGCTCCAATGCTGTGTCGTCGGAGCCCATCGAATAGTCAAAAAATGCCGGGGTTCTTGACGGCTTGTGGGATTGGCTGGCAATATGGGATGATTGGTAAGAACCACTACCAACGATTCCGCGATTCTGTTTAGACTCGTTGGCATCGATCAAAGCTTCAAGGAGGTTTGCGATTTTGATATCTTCTAGTTGAAGATCATTTTGACTTTGCGTACGCGCAGGCTCATCATGGGCTCCGCTGGATGGTGTGCTTGAAGCAAGAGAGCGAATACTGTCAATATCCTGGATGATTACTTTTCTGAACATGGGTGGCAATTGGCCTGAAGGGAAGGTAAATGGGTGAGGCGCTGCTGGTGCTGCTATAAATATAGGAGGTTGACTGGTCTCGGACTCGTCCTGAGCGCCCTCTTCTACATTTTGAACAGAAATCTCTAGGTCTGAACTCAAGCGATAGGTCTCATAACCCAGTGAACGTATGGAATGTGGTGATGGTTCGGGACCTTCCCCCAGATAGTCACCAGCCAATTGCGCGAGATCCAGGGCCTGGAGGACAATTACATCTGATCCAAGTTCCAAGGCATTGGTGAAAACGCACTGGTCGACCATAGCCTCATGCTCAGCGGTGGGTGCCTGTAGTATCACATTCGTTTTGGTAGATGGAAACGAGTCTCCGGCTGCTGGCTGTGAGGTGGAGAGAGAAGCTGCAATCGTCGCTCGGATCTCCGCCGCGATGAGGGGAGATAATTGCTTTGTGCGGCCAGTATCACGAGCCTTCGCGACTGCTCTTCGCTTTGACGCCTTCTCAAATTTGCTAGTTGGTACGTTCGGACTGTGAAGAATTTGACCCAAGGTTTTCGCAGCATTCAACAGATTACCATCTTCACTGGTGGAAGGCCTGGATTCGGATATCGACTGTTCCTCTTTATTGTCGGTTGTTGTAGTCGCGGTGTCGGGTGTAGAATGAGTCTTGCTTGCCGCATCGTCCTCTTGTATTTGTACGTCTGGGCTTGCTGTCTCATCGGCCAGCTCCATCCGCTCAGACAAGTACTTTTCGAGTCTCAATCTCTCCGGTGCATCTAACCGCTGACCCCACAATGCGCGGACTAATCGTGCCAATACCTGAGGCGCATCGAGCTCGATGCCGGCTGGGATGGAACATGTAGCATGCTCACCAGAATCATTGTGAGACAAGGTAATGGAGAGCAGTGGTAGCCCTTTCGAATCGTTGCAATCCTTCAATTGGTCCTCATGTCGTATGACCCTCCTCTTGAGAAACCAATTGGGAATGTGCACGGGGGGTAGACCGTCGGCCTTCTTCCCTCGCTGTTGACGTCGCAGAGCTGCCGAGTATCTTCGCACCGTTTCACGTGATCTCTGAAGCTTCTGTGCAAGAATATCTGGGTCTTCGTTTATTATCGCAGCTTCCGTCTGTTGCTCCGCCGTGGCTGTCCCGTCGGCCGTCTTCTTGTTGGCATTATGGTCGGCCGGTGTGCTTCCAGGTGTCGGCGGTGGATTTGCAGCCTGCGCAAGCTGACGTGTAGTATGGAGTGAACGAAACCGCGGTGCTGATGGATATCGACGGCCTCGAACAAAGCGCGCTGGAGGTCTTCCTGTCGACGCTCGCAGTGCTGAGCGGATGACGTACATACGGAAGTCTCTGGCGCTACCACAGATGGGACGGTGAAGGAGCCTACTGAGAATGGCGTAGGCTTGGGAAAGCGAACGATGCGCTGAGTGGTGATGGCGGCGTCTTGCCCAACTTTTGCCATGGATGATTTCCGTATCGACGTTGAGCCAGGGTCCAAGCCAAGAACGCGCTTGTGGCGGGTGATCTTACCCAAACGAGCATCTACTCCAACTCAACTGGAACGACCTCTTGCTGCTCCCTTCAGTTGCTGCGTGTCTGGAACTTCAATATCTATGAGAGTCAAAGCGTTCCAAAACTCGGTTTTAAGGGCTTTGACCATGTAGGAATAAATCAATTTCAAACACGGCCAGTCTTTCCACCCAGCAACGTGTCGCTACCGTACCATAGTACGCGGTCAGTCTCGGCAAATCACGTTAGCGATACCTACTGTGTCTCTGATGTCAGCCATTCAAGCGCCGACACAAGCGACGAGGAAGTCGGCATAACGACATCAATGTATGAGATACGGGAGTTTGAACAGGGCAGACATATGAAGCGTTGTTTGTCTGCGTGGCCACAGAGCGTCACCTTGCAACGGCGGTTGGCCGAGCAACATTCGCTTCCGCTATTCTCCACCCACAAAAAGAATCCGACACTTGCGTCAAACTCCGCGCACGATGGCGGTGGTGACCCAGGACGCAGGCGCACCGGCAGCGAGCGCGCCAAGCGGCGACAACAACAACCCTGTGGCAAACCACACCAGCGTAGCAGATACGGACACCCTCATAAAGGAACTCGCGAAGATCCTAGGAAAGATTGAGAAGAGAGGAGATGGACAGCAGGATACACTAGTGATGGGGGCAGACCTAAGGGGAATCTGACTACTTCGACAAGCCTATCTACTAGAAACCCTGGGAGTACCGCTCACAACACGAGTTAGTAACGGCAGGTCAGCAGATAAACTCTATTACTATAAGGCAGCTAGAGAAGGGTATACAAAAGATTAGCGGCACCGCGAACATCACATCCAGGCGATAGCTACGTGACCCCAAAGCCAAAAGCAAACACGCAAGAACCCAGAGGGGGACCACACAAACTAGGATAGAATAAACAAGGTTCACTTATTATTAGGGTACACACAGCAATAGAACAACATAGGATTATCCTAAGTGGTATTATTGTTAGAGTAGAAAACTGCAAGGCAAGACTATTCCACACCAACGTTGAACAAAAGTAATGCTTCTAATGCGGGCAATAGTGACACAGATAGAACTACGGCGCAAAAGGGAGAAATGTATGCAATGCGCGAGGACTACAACACTAGGGCGTGCAATAAAAAGAGGGTAAATTGCGGGAAAGCACATAGAGCATGGCAGAAGAGGGAATGCGACATATTTAAGGCCTATAAGAACAATATAGGAGAGCTAAGAAGGAAAATGGTCATAAAAGCGGCGGCGATACGCAAGGGACTGCACTTCTCTCGTTGCCGCAACTCACCCTGACCCCAACGGCGAAGACACTTCTCAAGAGACCACAGGAAGGGGAAACATAAACACAACGACCAAGACCAGGGAGACCAACCCTAACTGGCTAAGCGGCGAGACAGGCAAGAGGAGACCCTAGACAGACAGTGATAGACATCACCCAAAGCCAGCCTGAGACACCCACAGAAAACCGAACAGACACAGAAATGGAAGGTGTCACCGTTGACCAATGAACGCACACCTAACAATACTACAACTGTAAAAGAGTAAACAGGACGAAAGCGAGACCATTCTTTGACGTGGCGAACCCTACAGAACACTACATTCTGGCCATACAAGAACCGGCTTGGAACATAGATACCAGGAATACATACTGCCTGTCTGGGTACAAAGTGGTCCACAACGGGCATAAAAACACGAGGGTATGCTTCTTGATAAGTAGAACCCCAGGAATAGAGGATTAGAAATTAATAAAGAACGATGGCAACGCCGCTAGGATTATGACGAAAACGGACCTAGGCTAGGTCACTATCACCAATATCTATAACCCACCAAATAGGCCAACAGACATGGTGATAGGCGAGACGATTAGAACGACCTTTACTGGGAACCAAGAGGGAGCGCACCAAGTAGTCGTTGGTGACTTTAACCTACACCACCCAAGATGGTGAGGCACAGGGACCACAACCGACCCGGCAGCAGAAGATCTCGTCAAGACTATGATGAGATAAGACTTGGCTTAACAACACCAAAAGGAGAAGCCACCTGGGTAAGAGGAGAAAGGCGATCTGTTATAGACTTGACGTTTATGACCACCTCCCTAGCTTAGCAGCTAGTGCACTGCGGACCAATACCTAGAGGACTGGGCGTTAACAAACGACCACATATCGGTCAAGATCACCATAGGAACACTAGTCACGCCCACCCCGAGAACAACGAGGCAATACGGCACGAAAGGCCCAACGACCCCCCACATGCCCCCGCTACGAGCCACGAGAGCTCTGCCCACCACAGACGACGAGGAGGCAAAGGCAACCCTGCTAGCGAAAGTTATTCTCGCCAACAGGAGAGGCAGACCTGACGGATGTGCAAGGCGAGCTATGGCACGAGACAGAAGGGGACCCTAAGGCAACCATGGTGGAAGTATCAGACATGGTAACGCCCACAGACATAGACGAAGTATTCGAAGGACTGCCTATTAAGAAGGCGCCTGGACCGGATAAGATTCCTAACAAACTGCTTAAGGCACTGAGGGAGGACATAAGGAGCGATCTCGCAAACGCTATTAGCTGACACATCTAACAGGGGGCACTGTCCTAAGAGCTTAAAGAGACTACTACGATAGCTCTACGAAAACTAGGGAAGAAGGAATACGCCCTGGTTAACGTATGTAGACCTATCGCCTTAGATAACACTACTGCAAAAATAGTAGAAACTATAGTTGCACAATAACTAGTAGAGGCCGTAGAACGCTAAAACCTCATATAGAACTAAACAGGATGCATAAAATTACGGTTAACAATAACCGTAGCTAGACTGCTTACGGACACTGTGCAAATAGCATAGAGGGCAAAGAAAGGTACGATCGTATTAATGCAGGAACGTCTCCTACCCCTCCTATGGAAGAAAGGCATACCAAGTGGCTCATCCGCTTCGTACAAGACTTCCTGAAACGGCGCACGACACGGATCACCTTTGCAGGTACACGAGCGGACCGATTAGGGTCCAGGCACAGAAAACCTGTTCGGCTTTGGATTTATTGACGACACAACCCTGGTCGCGTGGGGAAACTCGGCAAAGGACAACTGTGGGAGGTTGACACAACGCGCACGACAAACGCGATGCATGGGCAAAGCGATACGGGGCGCGATTCGCACCAGACATGTATCAACTCATGCACTTCACCAAACGAGGAAACAACGAAGCGGACATGGCGAGCACAGTACCGATAGGTTAACAACAAGCCGAACTATATAAGCTATCCATCAGAATCTTGGGCGTATACGTCGACCCCAAGCTCCAGTGGAAGAATCCCTCTAAGGTAATGGTGATGGTGAAGGCGTAGGTGTATCCTTAAGAAGGCTAAGTATTGACGATATTGAGGAGGAAGAAAAATTAGGGGCTGGCGAATTTAAGGGTACTGGGGTAGTTGGATGTTGTGAGGGTTCTGGGTGAAATAAGGCGTTTCTGCCCTCAGGGCTAAGGCCGACTTGATCAACCAAGTCAGGACCGGGCCATTCAGATGGCGGCGGCCACGAGCACTCTGGGGCGGGTTCTGGGGAACTCTGACTTGGCTTTGGAGAGGGAGTCGGGGTTGGAGTCGGAGTTGGGGTGGGTGTTGGAGTATCCTTTTTGCCAGGTTCTTTATCACCAGGTTTTTTAGCATCGCCTGGAGGTGCACCGCCGCCTTTATCATTGTGTGCAGGAGGTGAAGAAGAAGCTGGGGAACTATTTCGTGGCGGAGAAGGAGAATTATGGGGCGGAGGAGAACTAAAAGGAACATGGCCGTGCGTCGCATTTGTCCTAGGAATCCCGTGGTCTTGTGGAGGTCGCGGGTGTGTCACATTGGTCGTAGGAATCCCGTGGGAATGTCCCCTAATTCTTAAAATGTCTAGTTCAGACCGTTTGTTGGCCGCCGCGCATCTGGCCTGAGTAGGCTCGTACAAGATCCATGCAGCGAAAAAAGCGTAATTCTGGGCGTTACGAATCTTCTTTTCATCTGGCAACTGGAAGCAACTGCGTGTGCAGAAGGGCATTCTTGTTAGCTAGGCATTCTCTTAAGCAAGGGAACTAGTGATAACTTATAACGTACTCTTTAAAATTATACGTATAATCTGCACACACATTCCCTTCGCCGACGATGATACCTAAATGCTGAACCTCGTGGAGTAGAGAAAAGCCACCGCTATAGGCTATCTGGCTTTCTGTAATGCTGTCTATCATCTCCCGTGTCGTAGTCCGGAGTTTGAAGAATGTAGGGCAGAGGATTATCATATTTCCACGCCAGTTGTTTCTTGCTGTAGGGTCATCCTCAATCGCCATAGCAACCACTTCATTGCATTTAGGGAAGTCTGCTTTAACGCACGCAAACGTTATACTAGTTGGATCTCGACCAGGGCCAATACTCCCTAAAAACTGTGTTGGCCTTCGCAAAATTTGTGTTACTTTTTGGAAATGATTCTCCATAATAGAATTTTTTCTCTCGGTATTTGCTATACAAATGTTAGTGTTAGTGGTTTTCTAAAAAGGTGTTAGTTAAAGCTTATTGAATAACATACAATGCCCAAACCATAAGTTGTATGCCCTTGAATTTTCAGCCTCTGGTTCTTCTAAAAAACGAGCAGAGAAGCTCGCCAATTGTCTAGCCTCTTCGATTGCTTGATTAATCTTATCCAACTGATCTTGTGAGCACATGAAAGTGCTTTCACTTCCAAAGCCAACAGCAATAGTAGGTGGCGCTCGCTTTTGCATTGCTCTGCTAGAGTCAAACTCGGGAAAAGCAGCGCTGAGCACTCCAGGTCCAAAGGCTGCCCATGCAAAAAGGAAGAGGGTGGTGAGGGAGGGAATCATATGTGAGAGCATAATTGATGCCTACTCTAGGATGTCCTAGCGGTGATAGCTGATTGAAACAATCAAGTTAACCGTGATGCAGAACGAACCGGCACAAGAGACAGCGAAAGATTTTGAGGATGTGATAAATGAATATAGTTGAAAGAGAAGAAGCTTTACAATGCATCAGTCCTATTTATACTTTCTTGTTGTAGATAGACTATCGCCACAGTACCAGGAGTCCTGTACAGGGGCTTAGATGAAGCAGCGAAATATTCTCTCTATGCAAATAGCATAACGTGAAATCGAAACACTATAAACATCATAACCCTCGTAAAATCTCGCGATACATACCTACATAGTAAGAAGAATTGTCTACTTATTTTAGAATAGCGAATATATACATTTGCTGAATTAAGTTCATTACGTTTCAGTGCCAGACCATGGGTCGCTTGGCGGCGCACCTATGGATGACCATGGGGTATGGGGTGCCCTGCGCCCATATATACTATTCTATTCTTGAATAATCGATATTCATGGATTGTACGCACCTTTCTGGTTGTTTGGCGCAGTGGGAATAGACACCGTGTCCTAACAGTAGAGGTGGTGGTAGAGGTGGTGATGGGGGTTAAGGACTGAGAGATAGAAACATCGAGAAACTTAGGGGTGCATTAATTACTATACAAATTACTATAGATTTGCATGTAAATGTATAGAATACAGTGTTTCTTATTTCCGCGAGCACGGCCCTCATTCCCCTTGCAAGTAGACCTACGGGTGAGCACTTTTACCGACTACCATAGTACCTACCTAGACGTTTAACTGAGATATAAGCAGTTATATTTGACTGCGATATAATTAAAAGTACTACATAGTAATAATTTGTTTCAAGTTTGTTACATCTTAAGTGCAAGAAGAGACATGGCTGCTTCAGATATATACACTATGCCATTAGCATTTTTACTTAAGATCAATCCTTGTTATATTAACGTGATCCACCACCGAGCGCCCACCCCCACCAAGCGCCCACCAACACCAAAATCACTAAATTTTCAACACCAAATTTCTTAACAACTATAGCACCTATTAACAACGCGCTTGTAGTAATTAAATCCTTAACTCTTAGAGAAGATTTTATATACTTAGAAATAGTAGAAAAGTATAGTTACTTATAGTTAACCTTATCTAGACACTACTAGAAAATTTAGCAGGCGCGTACTACTACTCTACTAAATAGTTAAATACTTAATACTATATAAGAAAGTAAGCTTATAAATTATATTAAAGAGCTTTATAAGTAAGGATTACCCCCTATATAGACTATTATTTAAAATTTTATAACTAAAATAATAGGGAATCTAGTAGGTAAAAATTAGGTATAGCGCTTTATTAACTACTATAATATTAATCTTATCTCTTATTAGGCTACTAGGCTTAATTATAACTACTTTAAAGCTAATTCTACTTTTAAGTATAGCTTATACTTTAAGCTTTTATACTAAAAAATAGAGTAATATAATATTAAGAGTTAGTATATCTATAATATAAATAAGAAGGGTTTTCTTATTAGAGTACTATTAAAAACTAAATATATATTTAATAAGAGCGCCTATAAGTAGAGAAAGATTAGAGCTATACTCTAGGATAGTAATAGGGAGTAGATTACTACTATAGCTTGTATATATACTAATTGTGAAGGGCTTAGGCTTATACCTAAGCCTAGGTCTAACACAAGATAGACTAAGTCTAACACTACTACTAAGCGAACATACTAGACACCTATAAAAAGGCGTAGAGGGCTTACCTCTCCTTTAAGATACTAAATACTATTATTAACGCTTATTATATTCTCCCTTAAGGCTAGTCTATAATATTTTAGTATCTTCTTCTAAATATACTATAATAGTAATAAGAGATAGATATGCTAGATATTTAGAATAATTAGGTGTAACCTAATATAATAGAAAGGCTAATATAGCAGGTCTATAGATTAATAGAATAATAGGCTTAAGACTCTACTATAATAGCTATACTATATTAATAGAATAAGGAAATACGCAATTAGATTCTATCCTAACCCTCCTCTAAGCCTGCTAGGTTTAATAATCTACTACCTCTACCCCCTTCTACCTTATAATATAAACCCTTCCTAGTTAGCTTGCTATATAATAGCACTAAGGTAAACTTTTCCTCCTAGTAAATAACTATAGAATTTAAACTACGTGTAGATAAGGTCTTTATTAGGGATAAAGAGGCAAGGTTTATATATATTAAGTCCTAGCTATTACCTATAGTCTAGCGCGCTATAGCACTATACTTTAAGGATAGTGTATGTAAGTATTAGGATATAAGTAGGTTTCTTAACTACCTAGCGTTCTATTATAGTAACTATTATAGGTAGGAGCGCACTTAAGTTACGTTAGAACACTTATATTAGGGCTAAAATTAGCCTTTTATAAAGTTCTTTGTAACGACTTAGGTAGGTAGGGCATCCAAAAGGTATCCTATACAACTCAAAGGCATATAGGAGTGCGCGTCTATACAGAAAAGGATAAGATTCCTACACCTATAGGTCTTGTACGAAAGGACAAGAAGAATATACCTATCCTAACTATAGGCGAGCTATTCTCTATATATATTAGTAAGTTAGGCCTTTATTAGGCCTAACTTAGTATAGAATAATAGGCAGGTAATTCTACCTTATTATTACACTACCCCCTCCTATAGAGAAAGGATAGTCCCTATCCTTAGGACTAGGTTTAGATCCTTTATTAAAGAAGAATTTTTTGCAAAAAATTCTACCTTTACCTCTACCTTTACCTTTACTTCTTCTTCCTAGGGTATAGACCCCTATCCCTAGCCTATATATAACTAGCCCTCTACCTACTAACTTTCTTATTCCTATATCCCTAATTTTTTTAAATATTTAACCTAATCTATCTAAAATCTAGTAAGTATTTAATCTATATAATTAAATAGTTGCTAATCTAAATTAGAACCTTTAGCTATGCTAGTACTAGTACTACTAGGAGTCCTCCCTATTACTTATTACGCTCTCTATATAAGGGTAGTTAGGGCTCTAGCTAGGGGTAGGTTTAATAATTTTAATTTTAAGTTAAAGAATTCTAAGAAGTGCTAGTACTATATCTCCTAGAATAAGTATTATAATCTAGTAAGTATCTAAGTCTAATAGGGTTCCTTTACTAATCCTAGTAGATTCCTTCTTTTATTAGCCTAGAGTACTCTGCCCTTAGGGGTGCTCTAGATAAGTACTATAGCCTAGTAGCTAACCCTTCTAAAGGGGATATAGATAAGGAAGCTATAGTTGCTTATTAGAAGGATATTAAGTAGTTTAAGGCTACTATTTAAGAAACTACCTAAAACCTAGCTAAGTGCGTTACTATTACTAATACTTAGACTAAGGGTATAGAAGCTACTAAAATCCTTATAGCTACCTATTATACTACTATATCTAATTTATATTAGCTTTAGAATAGTATCTATAAGATAGTCTTAGTAGTTAGGGGCTTAATAAAGGCTATTAATAAACTTAAGAAGGAATTAGCACTAAATTAGGAGGTAACCTTTCTAGTATAGGCTAAGATAAAGGCGTTTTATAAGAAGGAGTCTAAATTAGTCCTAGCTCCTACTCCTATTCCTACACCTGCTCTAAACCCTGCTATACTAGTTATCTAGAAGCTAGCAAAGAAGGATAGTCTAGGTACTATCTTAGCTAATACAGAGTCTAAACTAGGTTCTAATAGAGATATAGATATAGATTAAAGAGGTTTACTAAAGGTAGTATCCTAGGAACCTTAAAGGTTCTATAATAGTTCTAAATAGGATATAATAATAAATAATAATAAGAATAATAGTAATAGATAGTAGTTAATAGATAATACGTAGCTAAATAGGATATAAATTAGTTCTAATATTAGGTATAATTATTATAAAGTAATATTAGATCCTCTTTACCTTTTTCCTAGGCTTAAATCTATTTTAGTAAGCTGCGTGGGGGACCTAGCTAATTTAGATACTATTAGTAGAATACCTATAATTTATAGGGAGCAACTATAAAGTTAGAGGTAGGATACTAAACTAGATTAGGATTGTGTCTAACCTACTTAACTTTATATTTTAGCTTAGATTAATATAATTTGCTAGCTAGGATTTCTTCTACCTCCTATTCCTCTACACCTTGTATAGGGGTACTAGGGGGTTTTAGGGCCTCTTATCTAGGTAACAGGTCTTAGGGATCTTTATATAGTATATTAGGAGAGAAAACTATAAGGCTCTAGTTATAGGCAATAGTATTTGCTTTACACTAGATAGAATAGTGTAGAGATGGCTATTAGTATAGTATTAACACGAGAATAATACTTGTCTTCCCTAAGCCCCACGCAAAGCGCAGGTTTTGTATAGCTTAGGCGCTAAGACACTAAACCTAGCTAGGGATGCACCTAATTAACTAGAACACCACAAGGTGTCTTCACGATAGGGTTGTTACAGAATCTCCCCCTCTAGCTATAGTCCCTAGCAGCAACCTATAGCCTTAATAAAAACCTCGCCCTCTAGGGAAGGAAAAGAGTGTCTATAGTTTAACCTATAGATACGCTATATAAGCGTTCCTTCTACGTGTTATATATATTATAGGCGTATAGTACACGCGCGTTATTATACTATAGTATAGAAAGTTAACTATTTACTTATTACTTAGTTAAGGCCTAAGCTCTATATATTATAAATAACTAAATACTTTACTACTACGTGCCTTAACCTTTAAGCACCTATAACGCATCTTAACTATATATCCTACGCCTATTAATATAGTCTACTACCTAAACCCTAAATATATTAAGAAGTTACACCTCTATAGTGCCTAGCCTTACGCGTTTAACGCGCTAGCTAAGCGCGTAGATTAGGTAGCCCTAGCTATAACCTACCTGCGCTGTGCTTAAAATATTACTAAGTAGAAAAAGGATTATAATATACCTAAGTATTATTACTATAAGCACTACACTACTAGTAACTAT